CGGGGGCGGAACGCGCGCGCGCAGGGCACCCTCGATGGGTTTCTCCAGCCCTCCCAGCCGAGCTCCACCACGTCGGAATCGATGCGGCGGCCCTCCGGGGACGCGCGGACGCCCGAGGCGATCCCGCGATCACCTGGCGGGAAACCCCCCACGGGGCTTCTCTCCCTCGCGGAGTTTCATCGCACGCGGAAACGCGGGAAACGGGTGGGGGGGGGGGCGGGAAAGGCGATTCGCCCGGAGGCGGCCGTGAGCCCCTGCCCCTCCCTCCCCCCCCGGCCGCCTCCGTGCTCGATCTCCTCCACAGCAAATCGACGCCGCCCTCGACGATGGTGGCGAACACCACCACCCCACCCTCACCTGGAGGGGGTCCCGCGATGCGCCCAACTCCCCCTCCTTCTCCTCCTTCTCCTCCTCCTCCTCCTCCTCCTCCCGCTTCCACGCCTCCTTTTTTGTCGTCGTCGTCGCCTTCTCTGCCGATTTCAATTCCAATTCCAATTGCTTCGTCGGTGGCTGCGCGGCGCTCCGCGGAGCTCCCGCGGCGGACGACCTTTCTTCTCAACAGCGCGGCAACCGGCGGCCCTTCCGCGCCGGATCGCAACCCTTCAAACGGGAAAAACGGCGTGGATACCGCGCCGAACACGCTGCTGCGGATTCCTCTCGGGTTTAAACGCCGCGTCGCCGTGAGCTCGCCGCCGATGAAATATCGCGTTTCCGAGCCTTCCCATGTGGGGGAATGGGTGGAAAAGGTGGAACGATGCAGCCCTGTGGAGACTGCCACGGTGCAAGGCGGTTCCCCTCATGCGATAACGTCTGGAAGTTCATCTTTAGCAGCCCCTGCTGGAGGCAACGGCGGGAGCGAGGGCGTCTTCCATCCGACGGAGAAAGTTTCGGACCCTACGAGTAATCCATCCTTGCCGATTCCCGCGGCATTTCTCGCGGCATGTCATCGGCCAGCCACGAGATCACGAACCACCTTTCGGATTAAAAGTGATGAAGTCGTTCCGTCCGATGCCTCCATGCAAGACAGTTTTGCTTCTTCTTGAATCTTCCGGTGAATTTCCACGCTCGGAGCAAGCCCGGATGCGAGTGCGCGTTTGTGGCGTTGCGTAAAACCAACATGGTCTCTATATTGTGTAGAGGGGTTGCCTGTATATTGTTCAGGTCAAAATCACAGGAAACGAGCGTGAAGAATGCGATATACATATACATTTATGTATATCTGATGCTCTTTTTGATCTGGTTGGAACGTTATTGTGAGATTAAAGCATGCGTGTTTTTCTTTCAATTATGATATTTTGAAGATAATGCAGTTGAGAGAAAGTGCTACGGATGCTGTCGTTCAAAAAATAAAACGGATTCTCTTTAACATTCCACCTCATGTAATCCTAACCATTTTTCTTCACTCTTATTTTTCTTGACCAATACCCCATTTATTGGCTTTGCTCTTTTTTGTGGTGTGCATAAAAAACAGGGGTTTAGTGAGAGAGAGCGGGCAATTTTACGGGGGACAAACTTGGGCAAAAGTATATAATTGGTTAGATCCTCCAAAATAAGGTACCCAAATAAAAATTAATAGATATATATTTATATATATATATATATAACCTCTAAGGAAGGGTTGGGAGCAAATGAGTACAACCCAACCCTCCTTTTCGGACTACTGCGGCAAGGATACGCTTTTCCGTCCGATTGATTTCGTCCGCTACCGAAAGCCGCACGTCGTGAGCTACCCACGCCATGCGATTGTGCTAAACCCACAACACACCCAACAGCAGCGCGATGCCGCGCGAAAACATTCCGATCACGACGGAAACCATAATAGCAATTCGAATACGAGTGACGATGAGAACGATAACACTTCCGACAGTGACGACGACCCCCGACGGATGGATAAAATGAACTTTTTGTGTAGCAGCGAGGAGCTTCGCCAGTGTATGCATCTGCGGTGGAAAAGTGTGGAGCCCGTGGGGGTCGGCCTCGCCAACCTCGGGAATACCTGCTTTATGAATGCCGTGTTACAGGCGATTTCCTACACCCCGGCGCTCGCGCAGTACTTTACGACGCGGTTTAAAACCGCGAATACCACGATGAATGCGCCGTACGACTTCGCCTACGCGCTCGGGGAGACGATTCGCCAGATGACGGGATCGGCCGCCCTGACAAACGGCCCTACGGGCCCTTCGCACCTCGGGGGTGCGTCGAAACCAGCGTATCGCCCATCCCTCCTCGCCTCCCGATTGCCGTCGTTGTCGAAACGATTTCGCATCGGCACGCAAAGCGACGCGCACGAATTTATCGTGCAGCTCCTCTCCGCGTGTGAAAAGTCGGTGTTGTATCGTCTGGTGGGGCCGAAGAAGTTGGAGCCCCGGGTGGCGCTCACGACCGCGTTGTTTCAAATCTACGGCGGCTACCTGCGCTCGCAGGTTTCCTGGAGCGCAAAGGAAGAGATTTCACAGCTCCAACGCGATGGAAAGCATCAAGAGGCGACGGATCTGAAGCTTTCGTTGCAGCAAAAGGCAAGAAATTCGGAAAAATCGGGCACGGTGCGCACCGCTCGGATGGAGCGATTAGCCTCGAACACGTACGATCCGATGACGGTCCTTCATCTCGAGATGGTGGGGCAGACGTTGGAGCAGTCGTTGGCGGCTTTTTGTGAGCCGGAGAAGTTATCCGGGCGGTGTTATCTTTCCCCAAGGGAGGTGAACGTGCACGCCACGAAGCAGATGACGATTCACATCCCCCCTAACGTCCTCATTATTCACCTAAAACGGTTTCAAAACACCGGAGGGAAGGTGAATCGGTATATTCGTTACCCCTTGGAGTTGGATCTTTCGCCGTATTTGACCGAATCGGTTGAGCGGGCGGCTAACATTTCGTCTTCACGCCTCCCACACGCGGAGGGGTTTTCAAATGAAACGGGAAAAGAAAATAACCGCCATGTGGGGCTTTGCTATGAGCTAAACGCGGTTTGCATTCACGAAGGGGGTTCGATTCATCACGGGCATTACTACGCCGTCGTGCGGGCGAAAAATGGGATGTGGTACCTCTGCGATGACGCCAGGGTTTCCCCCATTAGCGTGGAAAAGGCACTTAGTCAACAGGCGTATCTTCTGTTTTACTCGCGTATCCCCATGGAGGAGAGGGAGAAACCAAAGGAAAAGGGGGAAAAGAAGAAGTCCATCGCCCCCCAACCCCCTTCTCTTCCGTTCCTGGAGGAAAATTGGGGGGTGGCGTTGAGCGATGGTGAGGCGATCGCGCGACTTCGCGCTCGACGGCGGGCAGGCAATTCGAGCGAATTCACCGCCCCCATCGAGAAAGCAGGAGGTGAAACGGAATCTCAAAAGGGGCTCCAAGATCCCCCCAAGGAGGAACCAACGGAAAAAGACGAGGTCGCGTCGAATCCCGAAGCCGAGATCGCGGAAAAAAAAGAGGACGAAGGGGCGTGGAAAGGGTGGCTGCGCGTACGGCGACGGACCTCCCCTTCCCGATCCGTCGTTGCCGCCGTTCACGAAGCCCTCGCGGTGGCGACGCCCGTGACGTTGCAGAGGCCCGCGGGAGCGCCGAAGTTTCAGCAACGCGTGCGAGATCCGATGTGGGAGATGGAGATGGATCGTGGGCGGGTGAAAAAAGTGCGATCGAAGCTCGCCGGGCGGGAAGACGGGAGCCCACGGAGCGGCTCCAATCCTTTTCAAGCCGCCACCATCAACCGCTTCGATTGGCGAGGACGGCAACTCCGCTGAGGTTGAACGCCGCCTTTCCTCCTCTAATAATAATAACAATCCCTCTCTGTTTATATATTTATTTATCTATCTATCTATCTATATATATAGATAGATATTCTGGGAGGGATGATGAATAAGGTTGTAACTCATCTTTACCGCTTAACCATGATGTTAAATATGTTAAGTCTTCATGAATTTATCATACACGTTTAAATAAATGGTTGTAATCCCAATTGTTGAGTCGCTAAACCCCGTTTCATACGTACACCAATCCCTCTGGGCGCTGTGGGAAGAGAGGAGACCTTTTCTTATTTCCCTGATCTGGACGCCCCGCCCGCCCTCCCCCTCTCAAGTGGCATTGATTGCTTTTACTGCCTTTATGTTATGATGTCATCATTCTATAAATATGCAGGTATACGAGCATGTGGGTGAAAGAATTCTGCTCTCAACCCTTTTATTCTCATCCATTGTGAACAAATCTTCCCTTTCTGTATTTCAGAGTTTACCTCCTGTGCGTATACATATCTACTTAGATATTTTGATATACATATATTCTATATTATATTTATCTTAAAGCTTTTTACGTGAAGAACAAGATGATGCGTCGTGTCGTTTCTCTGCCAATTTCTCGTCGTGTGGGTGTGGTTTCCGCTCCTGCGTCTTCCGCCTTGTGTGTTCGTCCGCGCTACGCCTCGACGGTGGCGGTCTCCGTGCAGGGGCTGCATTACGTCGGCACCGGCCTTGCTGCGATCGCATTGGCGGGCGTTGGGATGGGTATCGGAACCATCTTTGGATCCCTTTTGCTTGCCTGCGCGCGGCAACCGAATCTGACGAAGCTGCTCTTTAACTACGCCATTTTAGGCTTCGCCCTGACGGAGGCGATTGGTCTGTTTGCGCTGATGCTTGCCTTCCTCATGTTGTTCTCATAAATCATGAGAAATGGGGTGAGGCGAGGTAGGAGAAAGGGAGGACACGTTAAAAGGGGGGAGTGGGAAGAAAAGAACGTGGTCCTTCGAAGATAGGATTGATTTTTTTATAGTTTTAGCTTTATCGTCGGGGAAAAACCGTTGGAAAATGTTTATGTGGACTGAATTGGTTTATACGAAAATGCATCTAAACTACTATAAAAGCCAGATGGCAGCATAAAATTGAAGAGGATGCTCAGAACAGATTTAAAAAAGAAAATTCAACACACATATAGCGATTTAATAGTATTTGTGTAGCGTGGACTAAGACATTTTAGGGATCTTATTTTTTTTTTATTTCAGTAAATTTTGTTTGTTAGATTCTTTTTCGTCTTTACTTCAGACCAGAAATAGGAAGACTTGAGATATATAACATCTGGTGTGTGGATGAAAACGGGAATTGTATCTGTCTTGGAATTAAAATAACGCCTATCGGCGCGTTATCTGACCCCTTCCTTGACCGTTATACTTATTAAATCGAACTTGTTTTCTTTCTCTTTTCTCTTCCCATCTTTATCCAATAATTAAGATTTAATATTATATAGAGCAGTTATTCCCAAAGATGCGGTTATAAGAGGAATCTTTCGAACAGACAAATTATAAATCGGTAGTCCTCTGAATCGCTAGTATGTTTTATCCGCTGAGCTAGAGCGGTGTAAATACGCAGACGAAGGATTCGTGCTCGTGATCTTTATAGCTACGCTTGGCATTTCAAAGTTATTCCCGCATGTGAGTGTTTCAGGCTCTAACTTTTGTAACTAACTTGCTCCATCCCACTGCGAAAAAAAAAGTGGGTCGAAGTTTTTCTTCCTCCTATGAAATGTTTGTATCCAGGAAAGTGACACCATTACCTATGAACTGTTACAAAATGAAATATTAACTTCTTTTCAATGAATTAATGCATAGGTTCATTTATGTTTGATTTTGTATGATTTTCTATTTCCGATTAAAATCTATCTTATTTATGTATTACATTTAATACATTCCTTTTGCCATCTGAATAGATTTAAGTGAACCTATTCCTCTTTTTTGTCGTTTTATTGGATTTTTTGGCTGATATTTTTTTCGGGGGTGATGAAAATCACTCTTCTCTGCGACCATTGGTTAGTCTCTTGTCTCTGTGGTGGTGCGATTTCTCTGCCTGACTTTGGTGACTGCGCCTTCCTATGCTAAGCTAATTCCTTTTGCCTCCATTTTCGACTTCTTAACGACTTAGGATTTTAGGGTAGATAAAGGAAACCGAGGGAGAAAATCTAGACGGTGACGGTGAAGCTGTCTCCTGTGATCTCGATATATACACCTATATGCATAAAAAGCCTAAAAACAGGTCTGCCAAAGAGAATCAAGTCAATAACTAACTAACCCGCACAATACAAGGGAAACCAAAAGAGGCAGAAGGCTGCGTGTGTGAGTGAGTGTGTTTTGTGTGCGTGTGTTTAGTGCGTGTGTGTGTGTGCGTGTAGAGCGAGCGAGCGAGAGGGAGTGAGTGAGTGAGTGAAAGAGCGCCTAGGATGAGCAATAGTAGTCGGATCTGTGTGGCGGTTCGCAAGCGGCCTGTTCCCGAGGGCGCCGATACCGATATCGTGGAGACGCCGAGCCCGAACGTCATCGTGAACGAACCCAAAGTGAAATACGACCTCACCCCATATACCGAACGCCACACCTTCACCTTCGACGAGGTTTTCAGCGAGTCGGTGAACAACGTGGAGGTCTACGAGCGCTGTTGTTTACCCCTCGTGGAGACGGTTTTCAGCCACGGCAACGCCACCTGTTTCGCCTATGGGCAGACGGGATCGGGAAAGACACACACGATGCTCGGATCCACGAAAGAACCCGGGTTGTACGCGATCGCGGCGCGCGAGATCTTCGCCCGTGCGGGGCAACTCCACGCCGACGTCTTCGTCGCCTTCTATGAGATCTACGGGCGAAAAATCTTCGACCTTCTGAACGACCACGAGCGGCTTTTCGCGCGGGAGGATGCCGATAAGGTGATTAACATTTGCGGCCTCAGCGAGCACCAGGTGGGGGATATTCAGCAGATTTTGGATGTGATTAAAACCGGCAGCGCCTACCGCGCGGCGGGGCAGACGAGCGCGAACAGCGAAAGCAGCCGATCGCACGCGGTGTTGCAAATCGAGGTGCGTGAGCGCGCGGCCGCGGGGGGAGGGGGGGCCGGGGGTTACGGCCGCCGAGGGCCGAAGACGATCGGCAAGATTTCCTTCATCGACCTCGCCGGGAACGAACGTGGGGCCGACACCTTCGATTGCGATCGCAAAACGCGCATGGAAGGGGCGGAGATCAACAAATCGCTTCTCGCGCTCAAAGAGTGTATTCGGGCGTTGGGGATGGGGAAGAGCCACGTGCCCTTCCGCGGGTCGATCCTGACGGAGGTCTTGCGGGATTCCTTCACGGGAAACAGCCGGACGACGATGATCGCGACGATCTCGCCGACCGCCCCGCATTGCGTGAATACGATCAACACGATGCGCTACACGCAGCGCGTGAAGGATCTCGGCGGCGGCGGCGGTGGGGGGGGGCGGGTGGAGCAGGTCCCCTTGGCCCCCCCCCGCCGGCGGGGGGCGGCGGATGAAACGAAAACCCTTCGAGGCCGCCCCGCCGATCCGAAATCGGCCGGAGTGGGTGAGCGATTTCGCGCCGCCAGATTCGGGCGCGGAGGGCGCCGCCGAGGCGGAGGCCCCTCAACAAGTCACCCTCGCCGGCGGGGCCGCCGTGCGTTCCCCAGGTGGGGCCCGTCAATGGCGACCTCCCAACGCGAATAACCTGAACAACAACAACAGCAATCTGAACAACAACGTCGTGAGTAAAGCGCGGGAGGATCCCCATCGCGCCGGACGTGACGCCGTGCGGGTTCGCGTGAAGGATCCGAAGATCGCGACGATCGTGCAGAACCACATCGCCGCGCTCGAGCAGGCCTACGACGAAGATGACGAGGAGGAGGAGGAGGAAGGGGGGAGCCATCCGGATGGGGGGGGGGAGGGGCCGCGCGGGGTGCCGCCCCCGCCCGCCGCCGCTCTCCGCCGAGATGAGGAGTGGCAGGTGCGGAAAGTCCACGCCTACGTCGTGGAGGAGATCGGAAAGGCCGAGGAAAAGCTCGTCGCTCTGCATCGTCGGCATATCGACTCCAAAATGACAGGGATCAAGGATGAAATCCGGGCGATTCAGGCCTTTGAGGAGTCCGACTCCGTCGACGAGTACGTGAATAAGGTGCGGAACCTCCTGGAGAAGCAAAAGGCGGATATGGATCAAATAGTCAAGATGCTCGTCTCGATTAGTGATATGCTCAAGGATGAGGAGGATCTCTCCAAGACGTTGAATTCGTCAAATAAGATACGCTAATCGGGACCCGACACTTTTCTTTCGGTGGTGGTTTTAAGAAAGAGAAATAGGTCCTGATGGTGCTCATTACTCCTGTATGGATAACTAAGCCTTTGAATAGATGTATATATGTATACATGCTTCATAAAAGGAAACACCATCCTATTTTTATTTCCTAAAAGGTTTCTCAAGAATGCGTGGCCATCTACAAACTGATCTATACACTTATCTTTAAAAAAAAGATGGTGGCATGCTTTACAATTGCTAACCTCGTGACCTTTGATGGTGTTTTTTTTTTTGTTTGAAGGGTGTTTCATTCGAAGTCAGTTTTTGTTCTTTTTAAATGTTATTGGGATGTATAAAAAGGAGTCAATGCTCATCAAATATCGATAAACAGACCCAAGAAATTAGATAGACGATTTACTTCACAAACGGAATGCAATCACGGAAGTATCTTCATAGTTAAGCTTATTTCCTTACTTTGAAAAAAAAAATAACATAATTTTATGAATGGTGGCTTTTTTACTTTATTTTATTTTTTGCGTCACACCCTTTTCTGTGAATTATACGTTAAAGTCACAATATTAATCAAAAAGGGATCATTAATAGTAATGGCGTAGTGAAATTGAATGTGTTTTTGTGCACGCAGAAAGGAAGTGTAATCTAACAGCGTAAAAGAATAGCGAATAACTTTTACGTAACGCTTTTAGAAATGCGATAGTGTGGTCTCTCTTTCTCATTCTCAGGTCGCTTTTGGATTGATTACATCAGGCTAAATTTGTTTTGAGGCCTTATTCCAGCTCATCTTTCTCATCATTTCTCTAATTCGTTGGCTAAATCTCAATGCAATACGCAAATGGGTCACCTTTCCCGAAATTACTTATGCTTAGATTGTTATTTGCATCAATAGCCCTTTTGGAAGGTCACATCAATCCAAAGGGCTGGCCTATGCAACTCAATTTAATCGGTTTCTTTCTCATTTTTCAGAGCAGTCTTTTATTTGCGTCTAAAGAAAGGGGCAATAATATTGAATTCCTTATTAGAAGATACACTAATCAAGGCTGAACTGCTTTTTTTCTCTCTCTCTCTAGTATATATCTAAGCCTACGTTTAGGAGCTATTCCTTTCGTTTCTATCCCAAGGTCCAATACTAAAGCGAACATTTATGCATAATTTTCTATCTACTGGGGACTGACTTTTTTTCGATTCATTTTGATTTTTTTTTCAATGGTTTTCTCTTGCTGTAGCGGCCGAGATGATGTTATTATTCAGAAAAGAACAGCGCAGTTACAATATCTTGCTGAGTTAGGTCTTCATCGGAACAACCCACCACAGCTTTTGCGCGAGGAGACGGCGGTACCGGTCACTTTAAATATTTACAGCCTTACGGAGAAGAACGCCCACTTCGAGCCTCTTGGATTAGGGATATTTCATTGTGGTGTGGTGATATATGGAATAGAATGGAGCTACGGCGAGGTTCCTGACAACCCAAACGCGTCGGGGTTGTTTTGCATTCGCCCTGGAAAGGCGATCGGGATGCTTTTCAAGACCCTCACCCTTGGCTATACGACGAAGTCACCGATGCAAGTTGACACTATTCTGCACCGGTTAGAAAATGAGTGGCGGAGCTCTGATTATCATATTCTACATCACAATTGCAATCATTTCGCGCAAAGACTTTGTGATCTGTTATCCACCTCAGAGAAGCTTAAGATTCCGACGTGGTGTAATCGCGTGGCAAGCATCAGCGATAAGGTGGTCCCTAAAATACTCGCTACCAAAATACAACGAATGTTCCACGAGGAACCACTAAGAGTTCCGAAGTCCCTCAAAAAAGGCTGCATAAGCGGCATTCCAACTTCCGTTATTCCTCAAGGGTGGTATCTTCACCCGTCCATCAAGCAACTACCTCGATACACTTGCCAAAGCTCCTTAAAAACCCCTATGGGCCCCATCGAGGCCGTTGAAACACGAACCTCGTCGGTCAGCGGGTCGCTAAACTCTCGAAAGATGGAGCGCCAATTGTCGACAAATGCAGAAGCGTTTAATAACCATCTTCCACGCATGAGCATCTCTACCATCACGGAGGTGATGGTTCGAATGGATTCCTCGCCCTTGGAGTCGAGGTTGGTTTCCCAGGAAGACAACAGCCGGAAGGACACGAGCTGTCCAACGGTGCCGGTTTCCGCCTCCCCCGTACCCGCGATCCCGCCGCCCGAACTTCACGGAAACCGCTTTTCCCAAGGCGAGGAAGCGAACGAAAGAGAGGTGATGGAACTTCCCAAGGTGCTACGATTAAGCGCCCTTGAGGAGTCGTCATCCTGTGCGTCCTCCAGCAACGTGTCGTTTATGGATGAACCAAATGGTCTGCACTTGTTCGTTAGTCGGTGCATGAGCAGCACGTTGGATGCCCCGGTGATCTCCGAGGAGGCCTCCGCCGGGTTATGGGGCTCGGCGTCGAATAAGAAGAAGAGCGGCGACGCCCGTCAGGCGGAATCGAGGACTTTTTCCGCTTTCTCCTCGGAGATAAACCGGGAGGAGGTGGAAAGGAGTCCGATCATGCGGAAGGGAAGTCGGAACGAGGCGCGCTCGTCCACCGCGTCCTTCGCCGCTTTTCAGTTGCCGATGCGCTTTGAACAGCCGAGGCCGGCATCCGCGCCGGTGTCATTCGGCTCCCACCGTCTGACGCTAAGAAGACTCTCGGATAGCTCCGCCATGCATCTTAGACGTCCTCTCATAAACTTTTTGAAGCGCGGAAATACTGTTAAAGCTCAAGATATGGACAAGCTGGTGAACGTCCCGCCCCAATCAAGCCTGCAAGGGGAAAATACACAGCCACCTTGGGGGGCTAGGATTATCATTTCTCCTGCGATGGATTCACCAGACGCATCCCCGGAGGCGCGCCAAAGCTCCAGAAAGCCCCCTTCCTTTAGGGAAATCTTCTTATCGAAGCATGGCTTCACCGGCGATGCCGCCGTTTTCGACATGCCGCTAGATCTGGAGACGGGTGAGATCTGCTTCGACGCGTATTCGGAACCCTCTGCATCGATACGGATGGGGTTCTTCTCTGGTGGAAGCGAGAGAAGTGTATCAAGGGGAATAGTTCGTGCTGGCAGCATTTGACAAAATGCGATACCTTTAATCTTATATGGTTTATGGTGAATGGTTTATTGAGCATGCCGCAATTTTCGGTTTATAAGGACGAAATAGACATTCCTTTATGAAAAAAATTACAAAAAAACATATGAAAGTCCTCAACAATCAAAGCATCATGGACCTCTATGCATCTTCGGGTTAAGCTTATTCCTCCACCCCATCTCGCTTTCATCTTGGACAAAATCACGTTGGCATCCCGTAATGATGTATATTAGATGATGCATTCTCCACCCTCCAAGTAGATGTATTTTAAATATGGGTGATGTTGAGGTTCAAAACTTTCTCCTTCTTGGTATTGCATTTAATACAGGTAACATTGTAGATGGTAGCAGGTTTAAAAAAAACCTCTCTTTTTAAGTGTACTAAGGAGCTTCTAAAAGATCAACAATGTTCTGTTTCCATTGATAAAGACTTTCAAGACCGCTAATCGTCGTTCTTCAAGGGAAAGAGGACTAAAGTTCACTACTTATGCTTAGACAACAGTGCCTGTTATTGTCTTTTGTGCGTACCACCTTGTAGGCAGTTCTAGGAATATTTTCCGCTTTTTTTCCTATTCTTTTTATTGTCGTTGTTGCTGTCCTTTTCAAATTTTACACATGGTCCCAGGGTTAGGGCGATATCATGGCTTGGTATTCGCGTTATCGCATATTCCTCGCTTTGTGAGCCAGCTGTAAGTGAGGGCTTTAGGGTTTTCTAAATTAAATTGTCTGGATTTAGCATCCCACTTAAACTTTTTAGAGCCCATTCAGACATGGGGTGGTGGTTTAGTTTATTTATTTTTTATTTGTGACTTTTCGTCAAGAAAGAGTATACCGCAGGTTTGTGGTACATTTGGCCAGAGAAAATTTGATGTGTATTATATTTGGTCTAATCCCTTTGTTTTCCGATAATCAAATAAGGAAAGGATAAGAAAAAGGTGCATTGATGCCATTCAGCGTGCTGTTCTGGCTTAGAGAAAAATTATACGCATTTGTATACTATGAGTTTTTTATCAAAAGGCAGACCTAAAACTTGTCTGCTTTATTTTTTTACTTTACCTCTTGCTTAGACCTTTTTAACAGTTGAAGATGTTAAGTCCATCAAACTTCGGCAGTTATTTATCCTCCCCCTTTTTCCCACGTACACACAAATGGGAGACATAAAAGCATAAGTAACAGGGAGTTTCGTTGTCAATGAAGGAAAAAGAACAACACTAGATTGAAATGATTTTTACTTCTTTCAAACTTATTAACACTGAGGGTTGTCTTCGCATCCATTTTTTTATTCATCTTCTCCATTTGTATTGGGGCATCCACGTTTTATCCTTCACATTGTATTCACTACTTCCTCTATCTTTACCTCCTTGCTTTCTTCTGTTTTCCATATTCTTGTGAATAGGCCTAAAACGTCAGCAATAGATAATAAATCGTTCTGCAACTAAACGTTTCTTAGAAGCCAAAAAAATATATTAATAATATCACTACGCAATGGCAGAAAACAATGGAGAGCTACTGCCAGGTACCAGTTTTCCGTATGATTCCTCTAATGTTTTATTAGGTAAAGGTGGCAGTGGTGCCGTATTTCTTGCAAAACACCACGAAACAATGGAGCTGATTGCCGTCAAAAGATGTTACAGGCGCAACATTCATATAGAAAATCGAACCTCAAACGGAAAGCGCTTCACAAGGCCGCTAATTAGTAGTGCTGATGGAACTACTGATGGATACAGAACAGAATCGGGCTCCTATCTGTTAGGCCAACGTTTTTTGGAGCGAAACGCTATCGAGAATGAGGAGGACATGCGTGAAGAAAGTAACATGGAGGCATTAACTCTTTCTCAGCAAGGGGAATCGCCCTCACGCTGCGTTAACACGCAACGAAATGAATATAGTAGACAGTATCCCGAAGGGACCAAGACGGTGGCGGAAGTGAATGAAGTGGCTATTCTTGAAACTCTGAGCCCACATCCTCACATCGTCCGCTATCTTGGCAGGCACACCTCATCTCGTAATGTAACGTTTTTCGCAATGGAGCTTATGAATAGCGATATAGCGCGAGAGGTCAGTCAAGGGAGTCGCGCTTTTATGCGGGAGGATGTATGCACCGTTCTCATTTTCTCCATTCTCCTGGCTCTCCATCACCTTCACAGCAATGGGATAGTCCATCGTGATGTGAAGCCGGGAAACATTCTACTCAAGCGTGTTTCCGTGAAAAAAATGCCAGAGGCACTTCCCATTCTTCTTAGCGGGGTCGCGCCGAACGGGGAGGCCAGGGTGCAGGAGTCGGGAGATGACTTAGCCTGGGTGAGGGCTACTCTAGGTGACTTCAGCGCTGCCCATTTCAGTGCACAAACCGAAATCGACCCTGATATTTTGGTAACACGCGGCACACTCCACTACAAGGCGCCGGAACAGCTCATGGGAAAGCCTATTGCTTCATTCTCACCGTGCGATATGTGGGCACTGGGTTGCACAATATATGAGCTCTATACCGGCAAGCTGGCCTTTCCAGGTAGCAGCGGGCTGCAGGTTCAGCTTCAAATATTTAAGCAAATGGGCAGCAGCTTTTCAAAATTCCCTGCCCAAGATTCAAACCCCGCATTGTTTGATAAGATCCAGGCCTCATCGGATTTTGTGAATCTTCTCCAAAAACTTCTGGTTCTCGATCCAGCTCGACGGCTCTCTGCCCACGAAGCGCTTCAACACCCACTTTTCGCTGGAATAAACGCCCTACTAAAATTAAAAATGATGTCTAACGCGACAAAGGGGGCCACCTTCATATCCTTTCCGCTGAAGCTCCTTTACTCCCAGCTTCCTGACCTTAACACCTTCAAGGTACGGTTTCGGCCTGTCGCGTGGACGCCACACAAACGGCAACGCGCCAAAGTAGGGTTTACGGCTCGAGAATCCCTCCCGCAAATACGAGCGCCCGTCGATTTAACCCCTGTCGAGGAATCTGGCAACAAGCACCAGTCGTGGGAGATTACTTCAAATATTAGCGACGCGAACAGTTTGCATTGGAGCCAGGTTCGACCCCACCCGAACCATACCCCTGCGGTATCGGTGGAGCCCAAGCGTGAGGAGCACCGCACAAGCGGATCACCCGAAATGCATTTTCCGATGACCCTGGAGAGTGGCTCCGAGGTCCATGAGGGGAGTCATCGGGTATCGCGATGCCTCTCAGTGCTTACCAAATCCCTCCGGTCATCCCCGCAGAAGGGGGTGATGTGCGTCGATGGATCGCACACTGAGGCTCCTCAAGGCATCTCCTTCGAGGTCACGCCCATGCCGTCGTCTTTAGATGCTACAACGAAGCAGATCAGGCGAAGAGGGATGATGATGACGTTCGGAACGTCGCTTATCGCTGGAAACCAACGCACCACCCAAGAATTTGAGTTCATAACTCGGCAAAGCTACTCTTCCTTTTACCGAGTCAGTGGTGACGCTTCTACGTCCCGTTTGCCCAGGATGTCGTTCAGTTCTAGCATCCGCAACAATGCCTCGCTGGATAAACTGAGTAGCCCTCCTTTAGCGCGCCAATGCACAAGACGGTGCACCATCTCGCAAAGCCGGTCGCCGGAGCCCAATGCTCGGAAGGCATTGTGCTTTGAATCGCCCCGCTTCGCGTCGGAGTCCACGGAGCAGACTCTTGAAAATGTCGACGGAAGCGCTGTCCCCACCATCCCCTTGGCCGAAGAGGCGGCCTCCGCCTTGTTCGGACACCGCCCACGGCTCTCCACCGCGCTGCTGAGTTCACCTGGGCGACTGACGTTGAGCTGTCCTGGTCTGGGTGAGCCGATGAGCGGTGGGGTCCCCTCTCCCCTCGCGGACGCTCGTACGCCCTCCCGCCTAAGCGACTGCGCCAGCTCCTGCTTCACCGCGACCTGCTCCCCGATCGCATTCTGCAAGGAAATGCCCCCTTCGACGCGGGGGCCGGCGGTGGACGTCTTCATGCCCCCGCCGCTACCGCTCACCCTCCCGCAGGGTCTCGCGCGGGGCCACGGCGCGCCCCCCTTACGGATTCCTTCCAGGCCGCAGCGGCACTGCACGCCAAGTGCAGACCCCCACGACGGGAACGCCCCGGCCTCCGTCAGTGAGCCGCGGGGACGTAGTCGAAGCACACCGTCGGTGGTCCTCACGGAGTCCCACCTCGCGGGCCTCGCAGAGGGTGTCACGAAACGCGTGCGACTGGAGCCATGCAGTTAAGGGTGTCCTCCTCTAGAAAAAAGGTCCCCCCCTCCCCCCTCCTCCCTCCCCCTCTACACCCATGGCGTGTCGCAGGGGTATCACAGGTGGTGGTTCCCCTTTCCCGTTTAAACGGGCTGATTAAGTTTGAGTTTGTCTGTATCGTCGCTGTGACATCGGTTGAGGCGTCTAGATTCACTCATTAGATGACAATGCTCAGGTAGTGATTCGTTCATGGGATCTCGAGTAGAAACCATTTTTTGTTTTAAATAGATCAAAGAGATAAGACTTATATCATCTGGCTTCAACACCTACCTTTATTAGATTCTATTTTTCTCGATATGCATCCCTATGATGGTTTACATCACGCATTGAATGCATTTTTGCGGCATTATTTTTAACGTTCTGCTTTTGTTTCATATTTGCAGGTTGTTAATCTCATGAGGAGGGAGTTCTATATACATATATACGAGAAAAACAACGAGGCGGTATATCTTGATACGTAACATGATGGTATAAATTTACTGACAAATGCCTATTCGTGTTCTCAATGTAGTGGTTTTATTAATTGTTTTTATTATACGAACTACCTTGTGGACTTTCTTATTTATTGTTATCAATTCTTTAGCAATTTAGAATTATAATTCACGAAAGCTAGTGAATAGTTTTCAAGCATCTTTTTGAGAGGAAAAGTAGTTGAAAAATGCGGATGTCTATCACGCTGTGTGCCGCCTTGAGCGGATTCCTCTTTGGATATGACACCAGCGTTATCAACGGTGCCCTGTTCCAGATGAAGGACCACTTCGGCTTTAGTGAACACTCCTGGCAGTACGGTTTCATTGTCTCGATTGCTATCATTGGCTGCCTTATTGGTTCCTTCGCCGGCGGCATCATCTCTACGTATTGGGGACGACGGCCCAGTATTGCGATCGCGGACCTTCTCTTCATAGCCGGCACGGTTATCATGACCTTCGCACCGGGTGTTGCGGTTCTTCTTATCGGGCGCATGACGGTGGGCTTAGCCATCGGTATTTGCAGCGTGATTACTCCGGTATATCTGGCGGAAATCACCCCACCATCCCGTCGAGGGTCCATCATCGTGCTTAACAACGTCTTCCTGACGGGTGGGCAGTTCATCGCCGCCTCTATTGCTGCCGTCATGGTTGTTTATACCTCCAACAACTTTGGTTGGCGCATCGCGGTTGGCCTAGGTGCGCTCCCTGCTATGCTCCAACTCGGGTTCCTTATATACTTCCTGCCTGAAAGCCCCCGATGGCTCGCATTCAGGGGTCGTCTGGAGGCCGCCAGGCTTGTTGCCGTGAGGTGTCGTGTTGATTTTGACGACATTGAGGCTCAAAAATCGAATTCCGTACAGATAAACTACTGGGAGCTCTTTAAAAAGGATGTGCGTTTCCGTGTGATCTTAAGCTGTATGCTTCAGATTATTCAGCAGTTTTCTGGTATCAACACTATCATGTACTACAGTTCGGTTATTCTCTACGACGCCGGTTTCCGCGATCCTAAAATGCCGGTGATATTATCTATACCGCTAGCATTTCTTAACACTCTTTTTACGTGTGTGGCGGTGGTAACAGTGGATAAAGTTGGCCGGCGTTTTTTATTGCTCGTATCCTGCATAGGCTGCATCGTCGCCACCGTAGCGGCATCCGCTTTGGGCTTTATGATAAACTCAGAAATCTCTTATGCCGTCGGTGGGTGGCTCTTTTTAGGGATCCTGTCGATTTTCCTTGCATTCTACGCGCCGGGTATTGGCTGCATCCCGTGGGTGATGATGAGCGAAATCTTCCCTATCCATCTTCGTACCGCGGCGTCGTCCATCGCAACTATGGCGAACTGGGGTTCCAACGTTGTTGTCTCCCAGGCATTTCCTGTTCTCATGGGGTCCATAGGCGTGGGTGGTACCTTTGCTATTATTGTAGGGTTTCTAGTGTTAGGTCTACTCTTCATCTGGTTTTGTGTGTTAGAGACGAAAGGTCTAACTCTGAGACAGATTGATATGATGTTTCGCAAACATGCCAACCTGCCAGAAGAGGAGGAAGAAATCGCTAGCACGGGTAGCTTTCCTTCGAATCCTGAGAGGAGAGACGCACCAACCTATAACACCCTTCCGAGCCAAGTGAACCCGTTAAAATAATTCTTTACCAAACGAAAACGTTTCTGCGCCCTGTTTTTTTGGTGCCACATGCTAGATCATAACAAGAACTTTGTGAACCAGGAAAGAAGTGTTCTGTGTGGCACATTTCGAGTTGACAGAAGTCGAATTCCGGGTGTAATACATAGCTCAGATTGGCTAGCTGTTGAACTCTTTAATCAGGATAGTAAATGAATTATACACTGCAAGCAGAAGTGTACATATTAATACGGTATACTTTTACCTTTGTATTAAAAATGTTTTTATTGAACTGCAGAGAAGTGATGAAGGGTAAAAGAATTGCCGAATGCACTACTTGAGGTTTTCAATCGTTACCATACCAATGCACCATTTTAAAATTCAGGTTAAATGGTAGAATTGGTGTTTTTTATAATGCACCATTGTTGTACGGCCTAAATAATATTCTTTTCCAATAAGATATTAATTGTGCGATCAAATGCAGAATTTACGGCCTTCAGCTGCGTCTTCGCTTGCAGCTACTGTTGTTTGGCCTCTTTCTGCTACTTTTCATCCCGACAGCATGTAACCGTAAAGACGATAAATTATGACTAATAACACAGTTTCTTATACTAAAATCGACAAGACTAATGATTTGTCTTCCCCATTCTCAGAGTTTGGTATTTGACAATACTTTTTCCCCAATTAGTGATTTCAAAGAAAACACTTGATCTAAGTCGGCGAAATCGTGTTTGAAAACGAGCTAACTACTGATATCCTTGTGGCAGAGTTTATACAATGGTTTAAGACTCGTGGCTATTCTTGGTCATTGTGATCCTGCCCATGTAACGATAGAGAGCTGTATTTTTGTGTAAGAGCTTCAGTTTTTTCCCTTCGTTCCATCATCCTCTGCATGGGGAGGTTCAATCAGCATTTTCACGTCGCATGTGAAATCCACGCGTCCATAACCTATGTGGGACAGAAAATGGTGAAACAATATATTGGATAAATTAGTATAGGCTATAGTGTTTACATGAGTTAAAAAATAGTCGCCCTTCTAGACTTAGTATCTATAATATAAGGAATTGATTTTTATTGCGACAATTTTTTTTCGGAGCTTCTAAACTCCTTGTGCGATGATTCAGTCTCATTTTTTTTTTGTTTTGTGCGACCGGGTGAATATGGAAGAAAGCTACGCTTTTTTCTAGTCTACTTTTATGTATTTACTTTCCTTAATGCTCGTTTAATAGGAAACGAGAGAATTTAAGAAAATTAAAATATTATAAAAGTTGAAAAACAACCCATTCAATAAATTTTTCATTAGTTATCTTCTTTATGAAATCTTGTTCTTTTTTTATTTTCTGTGTGGATGCAGCTTTTAATCTATACCTTTTGCACGTTCTTCCAATTCTTTTTCCTAAACAAAAGGGTTAAAGTACTTAGTAAGCGACTGACTTTGCATCTTATGAAAACTTCTCAATCGCCCTTTATTTCCTTTTGGTTCCTGTAATGTCATCCTCTTCTTTCACGCATCTAATTCTACATCTTGCTCCTTGTGGCATCCCAGCCATTGGTATTGGGACCTATAAACTATACGGTGAGAATTGTGTTCAGTCAGTTTGCAGCGGAATACGGTGCGGCTTCCGCCTTATCGACACCGCAGCTGGCTATAAAAACGAGGAGCTTGTCGGTGAGGGCATACAAAAGAGTGGAGTTGAGCGGTCAAAGCTTTTTGTGGTCGTTAAGATCCTTTTAAGGGCAATGAGAAGCAAGGACGAGGTGAAGGAGAGTATTTTGGGGAGCATAAGCAAGCTCCGAATCGGCTATGCGGACTGCGTTATTATGCACTGGCCCGGCTGTCATGGTCTCAAGCCGGACGACCACGAAGGCAACGCGGCGGCACGTCGTCGATGTTGGGAAGTGATGATCGAACTCCAAAAAAAAGGCTTGATTCGCTTTATAGGCGCCTCAAACTTCTTGCCTCGCCACTTTGTGGAGCTCGAGGAAGTATCCAGGACGCTTAGCAGCGGGGAAAGTGAAGGCGGCAGCCCTCTCACAAAACCGGTACTCAACCAAATCGAGCTCCACCCCCTTTGCTTACAAGAGGATGTACTAGCTTATTGTAAAGCGCATGACATGATTCCGCAGCAGTACGCTCCGTTAGGTGAGCACGATGCGCGGCTACTGGCGCACCCTAGGTTGTTAGAGCTTCAGCAAACCTACTTTCCCCAGCAGACGATATACGACATGCTTATTATGTGGGGGCTTGCGCAAGGGTTTTGTGTTTTGGTCAAGAGCAGCTGCGAGGACCACCACAGGGCCAACTTTCGTGCTGCCGTCGACTACTTTGCCTCTGTGAGGCACCAAAGAAAGGGTTTTGAAGAACGGAGTGTAAACGAAAGTGGTGAAGCATTCGGTACTCAAGAAAAACAATCTTCAGCGTTTCAAATGGCACCTCGGCTGCTGAGTGATAAACAACTAGAGGTTATTAGGAATCTACGGGAGCTTATGAATGTGAAGGAGGACACCCACGTGTGTTGGTACAGCGAACATATTGCTTAAGAAGACCTTGCTTATCAAATTTTTTCTTATTGAAAAAACTTATTAATACAAAACGGATAAAATGAAGATTGTCTACCTTTGTACAGATTTACTGATATTATCATAGTTTGTTTGAGGTATTGTCTTCTTTTTATGCATTTTGCTTTTGTATTGAATTTGGTGTATTCGAGATGTATTCCTTATCTCAAGTCTCATAATTGTTGAAGAACTCTCTGTATTGCTTATTTTAGAGGTACCCTATTGATCTTCGAAGAGACATTTGCAGGCTGGTTGGAAAAAATTTTGCCTTTGGTTCTTTGCAACATTTTTCATTGTCATCTTTTTTGTTTCCCTAGTGGTGATTGTAATGCTACGGCGCGGCAACGGCCTTTTAGTTTCCTTCTTTAGCAGGATTTCTTTCAAACCAACTCTCTCTGACAACAGCGACCCCCAGAGGCAACAGGTTCATGACGGCCTATATAAATTTGTTTTAGACTATGACCACAAAGCTCCCGTATATGACTCGCATCCCATTGGGGTGAAATCTGACTTCTTTGCAAAACGTTTTTTTAGCGGGTCTGTGTTGGCAGCTTTTGCATCTTTTGCTAGTACGTCCTTAGTATTATACACCTTTGTCTTTCTTGTTGGCTCATCAATAATGGAATCCTATCGCAAGCTGTGGTTTGAGGAACCCAGTGAAGAAGTTGATGAAGAAGACCCAAGTTTACTACTTGAAAATTCGGATATTATGGCATTTGAGGAAGAAGAATAACCCTAAAAAGAATGTTTGCATGATAATTATTGCTTCAGTTTCCATCACGCGCAAATCAACATATCAAAACTGTCATGTATTTTTCGAGGAGGACGGGGGGGATGATAAGTAGTATATTTATTTTAATTAGAATTCTCATACATTTTCTTTACTGCTGCATGATTTAAAATGAGTTCAGTGAACTGTGCTTTCTTATCCTTTTTAAAGTGAGATGTCAAAGCTGATTCTGATACTTCACACATGTGATGATATTGGTTTCACTCTTTCACATGCTTTGGGACACTTCATGAACCGCGTGTCAACGAAAAGCTAGTGTATATTTACTTGTGGTTTCTTTTTCATCCTGACAACTGCTTATTGTGACTTTTTCTTTCCTTCCATTGCTCTATATCTTCACGGTTTCTGTACTACCAAAGTTCAAAAAGGGCAACAAATCCTATTCAATGGTCCAACTAAGTCCAAAAAATCAAGTCTCAAAACGGGCCCATGGCCATACAACTTCTGTGACCCAGAAGCCGCCGGCGGCGGTGGCTGGCCTCACCCGAGGGCCCAGCCCCACAGCAGCCGTCCCATCCCCTTTATTCCCCTCCCTACGTGTTAAACTCACCCCCACCAGCTTGGACAGGGTTCCCTCTGGGACTCCCTCAGCTCTTAATGAGAAGGCTCCGTTGTCGTCCCCGTTGTCACAACGGCGTGTGGCTGGACGGGATCTTTCCAAAGGGGGGAATTCCCCTATAACAGAGGCTCACCCGTCTGCGACGCAGACAGTGAAGGCACACGACTGGACTTCGCGTCCTCCCAACGGCGACGGGCTTCTCAGCCGTGGCGAGGCTCCACCCTTAAGGGCAATGAGTGGCTACGGAGCTCGGGCGGCGGATCCATCCAACTGGTCCCAAGTTGTCCTAGGAGTCACCTCGGGGCTCGTGTTCGTGTTTGTGGTGGGTTTCTTCTACACCATTTTTACCCTCGTGCGGCCCTACGGGAAGAGCATCGCGACCAGTGTGTTCTTGTCCATTGTGCTTCACCCCCAAAATCGACCACTGGTGTCACTCAATGTTGAATGCTGTATGGATCGCATGCGCCGCATGCAACATTCTTGGGCTAAATATGGTTCGCTTTTCTATATCATAGGCTCCTGGTTTTCTCTCGTCCACTTCATATCCTTTGTAATGATGCAATGTGTCATCTTTCTAGGTCTGGATAAAATGCGCATATCATGGCCCCAACGTCACGGGGGATTCCTTCAAAGGACTAAGGCAAAGGACGATGTATCCCACTCGGAGTCTTCTAAGAAGAACCTTATGAAGCGTCTGCTCGGCTCAACCCTCGACATGGACTATTACTCGCAATCAGAAAATAATGAGCAGCCCCAATTACTAGTTGCCACTAAAGAAGGGCGACTATTTTTACGGTGTCTCACTGTTTGTGTTGTCACGCTTTTTTTCTATATATTATTGGGGATACGGCATTTCGTCTTAATGCATGTTATTCTACTTCTTATTTTCGCATTTTTGGTCCTTTTCATGCAGCAACGTGCCTTTATTGAGAATATGACACATCTATGGAAAATGGCGCTATTCACCATTCTCTTGGTTGGTCTCTTCAACAATTTTACCATGGATATACTGATGATCCGTGACGCGGTAAAGCGAACTAAAACATCGGTAGTTCTCAATAGCAATGTGATGAGTGCGGCGCGAGGGGCTAGTGGGGCCTCCTCCACCGGTGCACTGTGCCCACATAAATTGGGGTCTACGAATACCACCGGTGAGGAGATCCGACCGCTGACCTGTACAAGCATCTTTCCACAATCACTGCCTTCAGCAAATTCTCCTACAATTTATCCGGGCTCCGAGAATGGTGATACAAATTTGATGAATCAATCGAATGCTACAATTTCGGAAAGCGACCAGGCCCAATTCGAATCAAAAGAGGTTGCAGAATCGCTAGGCGTGGCTTTGAACCGTTTTTTTTCAAGGCATAAAGATACCATCAGTGATTATGCGCACCGCTTTGCGCAATCCGTTTTACTTCAGGAGCTCGGTGTTCTTTTTAACCAAACCAACACAACAGAGTTGGAGGCAGATTTGAGACTTTGGGTATCACTATGGTCCGAGAGCCTTGAGGCTGGATCTCTTGTAGATCACCACAAAGGGAATTCTATCAAAGGAATGACAACTCGTACTACTAAATCTAATCATAGTGTGAAACCCAGCAGCGTTGGGTGGTCTTGGTGGCGCCAAGTTCCATTTCAACTCTTTTACACTTTTTTTGGCAGCGACAACTTAACATCGACATCCACTCCGCCGTTTGATCGCGGCACTTTAGGGGTCCCACCAGACCGATCTGAGATACAAGGTGGGGAAAACCACTCTATAAACTTTCCCCCTTTCCTTGTCAACACCATTAATTGGTCAAGGCTTTTGCAGTTGGCTGCGATGCGGGTTCTGCCGTTCTTGGAGCACTCTGCTAAGATATTTGCTACCCTTAGCGCGAACCTCCTAAATCTCACGGACACCATCTACTCTTTCATTCTATTTGTGCTTCTGTTTCGCTATTTTTCGCAGCTCGAGTACTCTCTCCTTTACTATGCCATTGTTAAGGTACTAGTGGTCGAACAACGGGAGTACCGAGAGTATCGTGCCCAACTAATCGAGCGCGAGATCACGCTATCCTTTATCACACTCCTTCAATCCTTTTGGCATCTAACCTGGTTCCACTTCGCGATCACCTTCACGATGTTCAAATGGTGGGGTCTCCCAACGCCATTCTTCTGCGGTGTAGTTGCGGTGCTGTTAATACTCTTTCCTCTCTCACCAAAGTGGCTAAGCCCGTGCTCCATTGCTCTGCTTGTTTTAGCTTCTCAAACAATTATAGATAATGGTATCGTCGGAGTTTTATGTGACCTGCGAGTTCTTAGCTTTCTTGCGGCGGTTACTTTGGACTACAACGATAATTGGCTTCTTCGTGTGACCCAAGGTCCGTCCAGGGACCCCCATACAGGCAGTATCAGGAATGAGAGTAAACAATTTCCACCTTTTGTGGTTGGCACCATGGTCGTTCTTGGGTTTGTGGCGTACGGCGCGATCGGCATATTGTTGGGGCCTTTGATAGCGATCATCGCCAAGGTGTTTTTCGATAACTGGGAGATAGAGTTACCAAACCCTCCTCCTCTTCAACCTTCCGTGCCACTTGAGTGCAAGAGTCAATTGCATCAAGCGTCATAGTGGTAGTATCCTATTTTGTTGACAACCGACCCAACACATATACATACCTGTGAGGTTAGAAAGAGGAAGGGTAATGAGTTACTTAAAAAGGGTGAAAAATAGTGGCACGTTTTATATACTTTTGAATGGCCTTCTTTAAATTTATCTTTCAAGTAACAAAAAAGCTAAACTAGCTTATAAAATGTTTGATGTGAATGACTGTTGTCGCATGGCGTGAAGCGGAAGTCCAAATCCTTATAATTTACGCATACGGCACTCCCTCCACCTTCTTCCATATTAATACTTATATACAGAGTCAAGGACCTCATCACAAGGGTTCCTTGACATATATTTTGAGTTTGCTCACTTTTATATCCCCCCCCCCCCCCCCCTTCCCTGCGCATTAAGCCTTCTTGATTCGTCATTTGTCTTTTGTCTGAGTGATTATGTCAGCAAACAAAATTCTTTGCGAATGGTATCTTGGATACTCGTATGACCAGGTTAACCCTATAGAGTGGCAGGGAGTGATCTGTATGAAAAAAGAATCAAACGCATTAACCCTGGCCTTTTTTATTTGTATTGGGTAGATGTTTTAATTATGAAGAAGGGGAAATGCGCATACAACGAGTCAAACTCAAGCCTCCCAAATGGTGTGTATAGCCGCTTGAGCGTGGGGCCAAACATAATGTTCGCCATCTTTCGACGACGCTGCTTTCGTTCTCACGGACGGTTCAACTCTACTGGAGGCCACTGTTGCTCGTCGCTGTCGTATTCCTCGACTGTTGAGGCGTCGCTGTTGCGTTTAGGACGTGGTGTCTGGCGCGAAGTCAAGTGGCGAGATCTTTTCGCCGCCTTTGAGGCCGAGAAGGGGTGGGTTGGGGAGCCGTCCTCATCTTCTGCGCGGGGTTCACCTCGTCCGGTAGTTCCACTCACAGCGCGGAAGCCGACGTTGTTGGTGAGCGCCTGCCTTGTTGGCTGCTCTGTAAGCTATCGTGCAGCGTCCGCCACGGTCCGCAACGGCTCTCCAGTACATTTCCTTCTTGATGTCCTTTGGCGTCGTTTAGGGGTGATTGACTGCCTGCCGATATGCCCCGAGATGCAGCTGCTGAGGCTGCCTACGCCGCGCCGCCCGATTCGCCTGGTTTCTCCGCAAATCACGTTGGAATCTGGGGTGAATCCTATCGCCAAGGACCCTCTTGCCCGTGTGGTGTTGCAATCCACAGAGGACGGCACCCATCACCGGGCATTGTGGGAGTTTGCGTCGACCGATACCCTGGAACGTTTGTGGAAGAACCTACACCTCAATCCGGGAAAGCGGCAAAGTGATTATGTGCATTTCGAGAAAAACGAAGCGAAAGAATTCCAAAAGGTATTGGATCAGCTGGTCCGTGTTGATTCGCTGACGCCCTCTTCTTTACTACGCGATGTGGATGGAATATTACTTAAAGGACGTTCACCGAGTTGTGGCGTTCACGATGCGCGGCTGTACAAATTTTCAACAAATTTGGCCGTTCAGGCGAACATATCCAAGAAATGCGCTCAACAATTCAATGGCTTTAACAACGTGGATGGCTTTTTCACCAATATGCTGAGAAACAGTCTGCAAGAGGAGGCTACCACCATGGTAGCACCTCCCATCACATCGGAGCTATTCCTTCGCTATTTGGCTCCTCCCAATGCCGTGGATGATGAATACATGCTGCGAGGTCAGTGTTCCTTTATGGGGACAGAGAAGGTCAGCAACAAAGAGGGAGACTATGCTGATAAAGCGAATTGGATAAAACCAGAGCAAAGATACCTAACACTCTTCTTGGATGCGGTTTTAAATCGCTTCGAGATGCGTACTACCAATATGGCGTGAGATCCATATCGGAGAAGAGCCCTATGCCCTTCTTTAAAATACTTTTTCACATTAGTACTTTGAGCTATGTAATCAATTTTTTATATAACTAAAATGTGTACATGCATGAGAGATAAAATATTCAAAAAATGTCTTTCCTTCTTTTTGAAGGGGAAATTTGATTCGGCTATAAATAGAATTAAGGGTATAGCAGTTAAGAAACCAAATAAGTACTTAGGGCTATATAATGAACATTCCACAAGCGCGACACAAGAACCCTCTCATGGAAGAGCTGGATTTCCTCAAGCAAATACAGGAGGACCGTATGTCTTTCAGCGCAAGCCTTACTTGTCATGAACGTTGCGTGGGAAATTACTGGCTGAACAATTTCTATTGGAAGGAGAAATCTTGCATGCAAAACTGCTTAGAAAAGATCAACCAAGCGACGATAATCACAAATTTGAATTATGAAAGGTTTCAGCAGACGCAACCTAAAAAGTAAAAAAACGCAGGAGCATCTTTTTAAAAGAAAAGGTTTTTCATGTTGTTTTATCATAAAATATCTTCGTTTGGTGTGAGGTATGCCTGTAATCTGCACCGTTAATTTGTTATTTGTGATGAATGTGGATGTTTGCCGTCCCTCCGTTGTCATTCGTATGTGTTTGATTAATTTATCAGACTTTAACGTGGGATTCATAAGTCTCCTAGTCACACCATACCCCCCAAAATGATCAAGCTAACAAGGCCTATTGATTAAATGCCTTTTGCAGTTTGACGTTTGAACAAGTGGAACAATAAGTAAAACATCTGCAGTTAATAATCTATTTTTTTTTCATCTGTTAGTTTTAGTATTTCGAGAGTTTTACATCTTAGTGATTAAAACTATAGTATTATTAATACAACAGAAACTATTTAAATCTATATAATCATTGCCTAAAAGCAGGTAGTGGAAATGGTCCTGGCGGAATTAGGCCAACAAATTGGCCAGGCGCTTCAAAAGATATCTGCCAAGTCCATACTTCAGGACGATGACATAAAGGAATTACTTAACGAGATTGCGCGCGCCCTGCTGCAGGCCGATATCAATATCGCTCTAGTCAAACAATTGCAGGATGGGGTCAAGGCAGAGCTTTTGGCCGCTGAAGAGGGGGCTGGGCTGAACAAGCGAAAGATACTGCAAAACGCAGTGTTTAATGGCATCACAAAAATCCTGAATCCTGGTGTTGAGGCTTTTTACCCTGTAAAGGGAAAGACCAATATTGTGATGTTCGTCGGTCTTCAAGGTGCGGGTAAAACCACCTCCTGTACGAAGTACGCTGCGTATTTCCAGCGAAAGGGATTTAAGGTAGGGCTGGTGTGTGCTGATACGTTTCGAGCTGGCGCCTACGACCAGCTTCGCCAGAACGCTGCAAAAGTGGGTATCCGCTTTTATGGCTCCCTTACCGAGGAGAATCCGGTGACTATTTCCAAGGAAGGTGTCGAGGAGCTTAAAAAAGAGAAGTACGATCTTATCATAGTCGATACAAGCGGACGTCATCGGCAGGAAACGGCACTTTTCGATGAGATGAAGGATTTGGAGCAGGCCATTCAGCCGAACGATATCGTCTTTGTGATGTCGGGTACCGACGGACAGGCTGTTAAGGAGCAGGCGCAAAACTTTAAGAACAAGGTGAAAGTCGGCTCCGTGATCGTCACCAAGTTGGATTGCCAAACGAAAGGCGGTGGTGCGCTCTCCGCTGTGGCTGCTACAAAAAGCCCCATCGTCTTTATCGGTACTGGTGAGCACTTCAACGACTTTGAGCCTTTCAAACCTCAGAGCTTTGTAAAGAAAATGCTAGGAATGGGCGACTTCTCAGAGTTGATGGATACCATGAAGGAGGCGAAGCTTGATGATAATAAGGCTCTTACAAAGCGATTACAAGATGGGCAATTTACGCTTCGTGATATGTATGAAATTTTGCAGAAGCTATTAGGTATGGGTTCTGTTGGGAGTATTCTAGAAATGATCCCAGGGATGTCGGGACTTGCTCAGGCATCTGGTAACCATAACGAAATGATGCTGCGGAAGTTTATTCACATCATGGACAGCATGAACGATGCGGAGCTGGATGAACCAAAGGTGAAAAAGTTTATGACACCCTCTCGTATACATCGGATTGCGCGTGGCAGCGGTACTTCTCTTATTAATGTTAACAGTCTTATCTTCGCGCACGCCTCTTTTGAGGAAGTGGTGAAGAAGATTGGAAAGCCAAACTTCAAGACGATGACGCAGGACCCCACGAGCCTGCTCTCAAATCGGATGGGGCAGCAGCAGATGGGGCAGATCGCGAAGCTGATGGACCCGAATCGGATGCGGCAAATGGGGAGCATGGAAGGAATACAAAATATGATGCGTCAGCTATCCGGCGACGGGAACGCCCCTGCTGGGATTCCGAACATGGCGAATTTGATGAAAATGGCGCAAAAGATGAAGCTTAAACGATAAGACGGAGGAGGGAAAGGAATTTGCCGCGAAAGGGTAAACATAATGTCAAGAATAGCATGAATGCATCTGTGTTTTGTTCTACATTTTTATGTGCCCATTCTTCACCCTGCTTGAATTATTATTTCACTTATAAACAAAACACCATCGAATAAAAGGGTGTTGCTTTTCCTTTTTGGCTATGTGCGTGGACAGGAAAATACATTCAGCCCGGCCATTTTGACGTTGGAAAACTACACTTGTTGAACAATTAATTTGTCCTTTTTCGTAGCCGATATGCGGCATGTATTATGATTGTGCTTAATACTAACATTCACATAAATAGAAACAATTGCTATATATAAGCAAATGCGGCTTAACATCACACTAAACTGCACAAATGTTCCGTAAACCTCTTTTGATATTCTGACCATACCTGTCTTCTGGCATCAGTTCGTCCGTTTCTTGTCTCGAAGCACTGTCTTATTTCTTACTTTATTTTTTTTCAAGTTAAGATTTCTTTAACTTGCCATAGATTCACAAATTGTATAAAGACACATTTAAAAATATAAATACCCCATTAGGATTTGTATTCCCTTCCCTCCCCCCCCCTTTCCCCCGCTTTTTCACATTAGATACAATTACAAAATAACATTTGTTTTATTATATCACGTTAAAGGCTCACTCTTTTTGAGATATCATACATTTAAATTACGCTAATAATTGGAATCGAGGAGTTTAACAAACTCACATTAGAAGCTAGGAAAATGCCTTATAAAAAAATCCACAGGTCTCTCCACTTTGATGTGGTCAGCCCAATGAAATCGAAAGCCGAGGATTATATGGAAACCTCTCCAGAACCAGAGTATCCTTCCAGGCGTGTTGTACCTTCATCGAAAAGTACACTGAAGGAAAATAGAATGAAAACTGTCGTAAAACCAATCACTTATGAAGGAAAAAGTAAGCTTACTGAACCCATTCACAACAGAACCGATAAATACTATCCTAACTCGCCTAGGGACTCGCCAGAAGCGAGACTATTCCAATTAAACGCAAACACACATGTTAGACGAAAAGTGGATCCGTTGTTTACTAAAAAAAAGCCACTTCACACCGCCATTTCGATTAATTTATCGCCTTCCCCGTGTGAATCCGAGCACCGGAATAGTCATCCCCTTCATACATTTGAAGCCCTCCATGTGGTACCCTCCGCTCAAGGGGATGGCGGGGGTGTTGGCGTCCTTCGGACTCCCTCAAGGCCACGTAACGGGAACCCTGAGTCTATCCTACAGAGAAAACACACGGAGAAACCCTCTCAAAAGTACGTGGAGAAAACCCCGGATCGGCATCACACGGCGCCCAATCGGCCTCATCCCTCGGTGCATGAATACCGCAAGGCGATTTTAAAACTCCCCCACACGCGAACGGCGGAGTTGAAACCACCACCGCCCTCCTTGCACGTCCAAAAGGAGGCGATTCATACGATCTATCCGACGCCTTTCACGCCGGAAAAAAAGGACGATCGGCCCCACCACTTCCGCCGTGGAACGCCCTCAACGAGGCAAAATAACGTGGAGGAGGTGCTTCGTGCGCATCCAGGCGAAGAAGGGGCCATGAAGAGGAGGTCCCCCGGCGATGTAGCGGCTCTTGAGGAGCGATCCCCTCCCCTCCCTCCCTCCGCCGCTGCGAAACCGACGGAAAAGATCCACGTTGAGTTTCCTTCTCAGCGATCCGTTACCACTCAGTCGATTGGAAGCCTTCCCTTGGGGGTGGCGAGGCTTCAGCAGCGAGCGCCGCGCTCTGTGATCCTCTGTGTTGATCCCCACATCAAGAAGACGCCCCAGAGGCCAATCCCTCCACAAGAGAAGAAACCAAACGAAAATGACCACACTAACGAAGAAAGGGTGGAAGAAAACAATACCACGGGTGCCAAGCAAAAAGGCACGTCTTCTCGGAGCGAATCCCCTTCTTCGGAAGGGATACTGGGAGGTTTGAAGCAGCGGAAGGCTGTGAAAGGCGTTATAAATAAGGAAGAGAGATTGAATGAACTCTTAACGTCTTGGACGCGGGAGAAAGTGCGCCATTCGTGGATGCGGGAGTCCTTTCAGGAGATTTGTGGGATGCCGCTTTCTCCTGAAAAGGACTTTCAAAGAGAGGGAGGCGGAGGCCTCATAACGAGTGGGAGGGAGTCACCTACGGCCCCCCACTCTCTTCCCCTGCCGCCACCCCGGGAAACCCCTCATTCGCCGCGATCCCCTGCTGTGTGGTTAGCGAATGGTGGTTTGGTTGGGGAATCGTGTGAATTCCTCCCCCCTGCCGTCATCGGGGAGAATCTTGTGGGTTTTATATTTCGGGCCTCCTGCTCTGGCGCCGTGGGAATGAAGGAAACCCTGAACAGGGCAGAAATAGAGCTAAAGTCGGGCTTTCTTAATGTTTACTTCGAAACCTGCTTACAATGCCACATGGAATTGCTTCAGCGTGCATGGTTGAACGTATCTTATATCCAAATGGTAGCCTTTAGGGCAATCGAGTACCTTGAAGAACACAGTCGCTACCTGATCGGCAGTGCTTATGAGCTCTTTCTGCTCGACGCTAGGAGTCTGTTTTTGCGATCGAAGCCTCGACGGCGTCCTCAAAGCGACGCTATACCTCGTCTTTCGGCAACTTTCCAGATCAACGCAAAGCCTAAAACCAATACGACGTTTCAACGCATCGCCAAGTGGTTCTCGAGTCGACCTAAACAAAGGGCGCACTCAACGAATGCACCGAAAGCTTCCTTTCCTTCTGTTACAGCAAAGCGTCTGACCTCTACCGAGGTTGTCTTTACGAGGCGGAGGGCCTCATCTGCCTCAAAGACGAATTCTGAACAGATCCGATGTTCTTTTTCTAAAGGTAAAGACAGATTTCCGAAACCTATCTTCAACTCGGTTAATGAGTTCACTGAAATCGTACCACCGCCCATTTCAAAGGTGTTGACAATAGAAAAATGTTTAGTTAAGGTTTCAAGTATTAGTAACCTCCCAGGTGTCCAAATTGCTAATCCTCACAAGGGTAAGTTTGAAGTTGAAGAGTTCGTGCCCATAAACTGAAATTCAGTGTAGCTTCTCAGAGGTAAGGGGATAAATTCTCTAGTTTGGTAAAACTTGAGGGCTTTAATCTCTATGAAGCTAATTAATAAACACATTTTCCCCCTTTAAAAAATATGATTACCTTGAATTTTTCAAAAATTAGCGTAATAATATGTCTAGCGTGCTTCATTAGTTAGCAATATGTTTCTATTCTTTGGCTAGATTGCTAATTATATTTTTCTCCTTGTTAGACAATATTTATATGTAGACATGCAACTATTTACCTACTATGTTCGTATTATTTTTTACGTAACTCACTCTCATATTTAGAATTAAATCTTCACCTATGAAATCACTTACTACTACGCTCTTTTCACCTCAATCCGTTTGTGAACGTCGGTTCAATCCCGTACTTTATTCACCTTACTTTTATTGATCATATTTTTTTGTTTACATCAATCTAAACGATAGGTTAAACAGGAAAGGGTCTCCTATTCACTGCGTGGAAAGAAGTAAGCATTCGTTATCTTTCAATGCCAGCTAAGGAGATTAACCCCTCCTTATGTGAGCGTTACGTGATTTTCTTAGACATTGACGGCGTGCTTCTTCCCGTCCCTCGCTTCACCTTCGGTGGGGGTGAGCTCACCGCGAGTTGCGTCGAGAGGCTTCAGCAGATTATCGACAATGCTGGTGGTAAAGAGAAGGTTACCATCATTCTCTCCTCCACCTGGCGAAACTCACCCGAGATGGTGCAGCGGCTCAATCGGTACTTTAAGGAGGTGGTGGGGGATGCCATACCATGCGTGGAAGGGGGCACGCCGAACGGAACGATTATTATAAGTCAAGTTACGTATTACCCGAACGATCCAACGGAGCAGCGCTTGGTGCGCGACCGCGTAGATGAGATTTATCGCTGGATTCACACCCACATTACTGATCATCCGGAGGCGATTGGCGGGAGGTGGTTCGCAATTGATGATATGCAACTCGACGTCGACGCACGCATGGCAGGGCATTTCCTGAAAACCGAAACAGAAGTCGGTCTTACCGAGGATAATGTAGAGCAGGCGAGAGGGATTATATCGTCATTCCCGACGAAGGAAGTCGCAGTCGAGAAATCAAAGTACGCGCTTGTTGATCCGACACTAAAGGATGAGGAAATCGAGATCTTAAAGATTCAACGTGATCAACTTCAGGAGAAGGTTAATGATCTGGAAAAGACTTTGAGCGCTACGAAGGAGGAACTTGCGAGCCTGGCAGCGACCCGGCGAGAGATGGAGCGGGAGCTCAAGGATCGCAAGATGCAGATGGAGGACATGGGGTATAGGCTAGCCTTGGCTGAGTTTTCTAAGAATAACAAGGTCCTTGCAGCGGCGCTAGCCTACGCGACTACCACATATGGCAAAGAGCGGAAAGAAGTGGATGCCAAGATTAGAGACCTGGTTGCTCTTTTACGATCAAGGAAAGAGCTTGATAAGGCCGTGAGATCTGAAATGCGGAAGATGAGGAAGGCCTCTATAGAGAACGCTTAGCTACGAAAAAATATGGGAAGCTTAGCAAAAACATTGGAATGCGGCTTATTGGGGAATATACTCTGACTGGTGAAGTCTAATTGGAATCTAGATTTTACCCCACTGAAATTCTGATACTAGAGGAGGAGAGGGAGAGAGAGGAGGGGGAGGGGAAGAGAAGGGAAGGATTATATTTACATTGTAATATTTAAATAATCCTTTTCATCACCCTTTTAATTGTATATTCATCAGACGCAAAGGTGGGAAGACGTGTGTGTTTTGAACTATCCTCACCACCCAAAACTCGAGTAAAACTAAAGATTGCAATTGTCATGTGCGTTTTTCGGTTTATGTCAAGTAATATCACTATTACCATATTTTAGTAGATTTTTGGTTGTTATTGGTGTTACCCATACAGAAGTAGGCGACACTCGATTCGATTTTAAAATCCGCCATATATATATTTATATATATATCGTCGAGTTCGTTTTTTCCTGAAAGACTAACACATGCCGCTGTTTAAGAGAGACTCCGGAACAATTTCTGGCTTCACTCCACCCGCACCGTCTGCTTTGGGTGCAAACTCGGATGCTACACAACCAAGCAGTGCCTCAGCAACTACTACTTCGAATCGTCATCATCCTTTGCTTTCCAACGTTGGAGTTCCTCACTTTTTAAATCGAAGGCTATCGTCTACCTTGGGAGGGACTGCTGTAGACCCATCTGGAATTCCGGGCGCCGCGAGCACCTTTGAAGATGTCGCGAAGAATCCCGGCAGCAATCCAAAGCTCGCATCCGCAGCCACCAAGCGGGTTGTGCTCTACCCCGAGGCGCGAGGAATCACCCATGAGAACATCACTGCCGAGCGGCTTTCCAAACGCGCCCACATCGACTATCATCAACCCGAGAGCGTGAAGCAAGAGGAGCTTTTAAGGAAAAAAACCAAAGCCGATGACGTCGCGAATGGAGAGGTCCTAGCCGGAGATGCGATCCAAAGGTCGTCCGACTTTCCCGCACGGACGTCAATGGGTACCACGGAAGGAGGGGTGAATCCTTCGCTTTCGGAGTCTGGTGCGGGCGGGAAATCTATGGTAGGGGAGCCCAACCTCGAGAAAACAGGCGAGGCCGATGACGAAAAAAGTACCGTGGTTTCCCGCTACCCCGTCAGCCCACATGGGAAGCTTTATTTTCAAGTCGAGACGGATGGCGCCACCCGCCACGACTCTGTCGGGATTGTCGTGATTGATGTCGAGGAAATGGGGGTGATGATGTTTGATCGAATGGGCCGTCAGTACGGCAACCGCCCTGATCCCGGATACCCGATGAAACGCGAAGAAATCGAAAAAGCCGCCGCGGGTGAGGTGATCAAAGTCGGTACGAAGAACGTCTTACTTATCACCGCCCTCACAGAGGAGGCGTTTCGCCATGGAGAGTTTTTCCTCCGCTCCGAGCACGACATGCGGATTCGGGAGGACAAAACCAAGGCCGAGGCCGAGGCCGCCGCGGCGAAGGTGATTAAAGTGAACATGTCGTTTGGCCTCTCCTTGCTTGGCGGGTCTGGGGGGAGTTCCGTGGCAGGGCTCTTTGCGGCTCCATCCTTGCGAAAGCGCCCACGGGAGGGGCAAACGGGCTTCACCGTCCCCCTTGCCGGACGGCCGAAGGTCGGCAAAAATGGACTCCTCGAGGCGCTGACGCCCCTTCACGACCCCGATCGTCCGGGTGCGGTGGTCCTGTTCTACGCGAATTACAAACGCGACGCTCACGGCCGCACACAGGTTTCTGTAGTCGTGGATCCCATCCTCGGCGATAAACTCCGCCCGCATCAACGGATTGGCGTGAAATTTCTCTTCGATTGCATTACGGGAACGCGGATGCCCGGCTACCACGGTGCCATCCTCGCGGATGAAATGGGTTTGGGGAAGACGATTCAGACCGTCGCGGTGATCTACACCTGTCTTCGTCAAGGGATGCACGGGAAGCCGACGGCGCGGAAGTGTCTCGTCGTCACCCCGTCTTCCCTGGTGCAGAATTGGTGCAACGAGTTCGACAAATGGCTCGGTCCGGGGGTGGTGAAGCACTTCGCGATCTCTGAATCCACGCCGAAAGGTGATCGCATCATTTCCCGCTTCGACGGGGAGGGCGACGTCCTTGTGATTTCCTACGACCAGCTTCGCAAGTACATCACCCGGATCTCCTCTTTGAAGTTGGTGGAGTTGGTCGTCTGTGATGAAGGCCACCGTCTTAAGAACGCGGAGGTGAAGACCACTAAGGCCATCGATTTGCTTCCCACCCGCAACCGCATTATTCTCTCCGGTACCCCCATCCAGAACGATCTTTCGGAATTCCATGCGATGGTGAACTTCGTGAACCCCGGTATCCTCGGCAACCGAGAGCTCTTTACGCGCGTGTTCGAGGAGCCCGTTTCCATCGGACGGGATCCCGACTGCTGCGAGTACCTGAAGTCCCTTGGCCACGACCGTGCGCACTATCTCTCCATCCTTACCCAACGCTTCATTCTCCGTCGAACTCAAACTATCAACGAGTCGTACCTCCCACCGAAGGTGGACTTAACCGTTTTCGTGAAGCTTGGAAAGACCCAGGAGGAGGCGTACCAAAAGTTGGCGAACGTGCTCGAGAATGCGGTTTGCACCCCCCTGGTGCTCATCTCCGCGATGCGTAAGTTGTGCAATCACATGGACCTCTTTGAGGAAGCGGTCCGCCTGTCGCGTCAGCAGGTCGCGAACAGAGAGTCCGGACGCCCCTCTAGGCAAGGCGCCGAAGGCATCCCACTTGAGGTGCTACCAAAGGGCTTTACGCGCGGCCGTCTTACGCAGGACTGCGGGAGCAAACTACACTTCGTTTCACTCATGCTCGATGAGCTCCGCCGCAATGGTGAGCATGATAAGCTGGTCATCGTCTCGAACTTCACCCAAACCCTCGACATCATCGCCGCGTTGTGTCGTTCCAAAAAGGTCGCCTATTTTCAACTTGATGGTAGCACGCCTATTAAGCGACGTCAGGAGCTGGTTGACTACTTCAACGTCCCCACCTCGCAGGAGATCGTGTTTTTGCTCTCGTCCAAGGCGGGTGGCGTTGGGCTCAACCTCATCGGTGCGAACCGGCTGATCCTTTTCGACCCTGACTGGAATCCTGCCAATGACGCCCAGGCCATGGGCCGTGTTTGGCGTGATGGGCAGAAGAAGCGGGTCTTCATTTATCGTCTTTTAAGCACTGGTACGATTGAGGAAAAGATCTATCAGCGACAGGTTAGTAAGCAGGGCCTCTCCGCGAATGTGGTCGACATGCAAGAGGACTCCAAGCAGCACTTTACCCTCGAGGAACTCAAGGCGTTGTTCCGGTATAAATCGAATACCTCCAGCGAAACGCACGACCTCCTCGGTTGCAGGGACTGCGAGAGCGCTGTGATGGAAGCCCAGGAGCGAAAATTAAAAGGTCAACCGGTTTCCCCCGCTAAGATGCAGTTTAAAAAGGTGATTAGCAAGAAGAGTACCGGGCCACGTATGGATGAACTCAAAGCATGGCGTCATATTAAGGATATTGCACATCTCTCGCTCGACGCTGTGGTGCGGGCCATGGCTGTAGCCGCCCCACAGCTTCTAACTTTGGCATTCGCAAATGAGCGCGATACAAGTAAGAAGTCCGATGAATCCAAGGACGGGAAGAAGGGTAAGCACGACGATTCAGACATGGTGGTTAGAGTAGAAAAACCTTTTGAAAGTGATGAGGACAACATCATCTGCGCCAGTCAAGCAGCAATGCAGGAGGAAGAGAGCCAACTAGATATTGAGGTACATGATGATGATGACGGAGATGAATCAGCGTTGTCATCAGATGAAGAATCATTGGCGACATCGACTGAGGATGACTAAGGAGACTGGCAAATAGAGTATAGTATTTTCTATCTTCCCTTCCTCTCCATAAAATGAAGCATCTTATTAAAGAGTTTGTGGGAGGTAGTGACCCCTTTACCGACATAATGCTTTGAGCTCCTCGACCTAAAGACTTAAAGGCCACCACGGTAGAGTAGCTTATACTTAGACTTCGAGGGGGAAAAATTAATCTCAATCTGCGCTCTTTTTAGAATTAATCCATTCCAGTTGGGGTTGCATTTTTTTACCTTGTGATTTAATGCATTTTTGTGTGTGTATGCTATATTGAGACACTGAATAGGTCCTTCGCCAAATTTACGACCCCTATTGATGCAAAGTGTTAGTAGTATTTGGGTGATCCTCAAAGACGGCGAACCCCATAGGTTGCATAAAGGCGAGGAAGGAATTCAAATGCATGCATACTCTTCCTTACTGCTCATGACCTTAATCTCCTGATTTGATTGTACAATTAGAAAATACTGGATTCATCATAAATCTATCTAAAAACTCGTGTAACTCGGCTTATTGCCGTTCTTGTAAGCGTAAAGTGACTATCTTTCCTAATATTTAATTTATCATTTTTCTAGATTAGAATAGAAAACCGTTCGTCAGCACGTCTTGCACTTTTTTATCAATTTTTGATTCGTCCTTTTAAATATATATAAATATTTACAAAGGCAGTTATCGTGGATTATATGTCAAATTTAATCTCTCTCGAAAGGGATATGGGTTCACTGTGGAAATCATGTACATCTGTTCTTTCGAACCCCTATCTTAACCGTGGCACCGCTTTTACACTCGAACAGCGTAAGCTTCTTGGTATTGTTGGAAAGCTTCCGCCAGTCGTAGAGACCTTGGAGCAACAGGTGGAACGTGTGTGGCAGCAGCTCAAACACTATGAAAATCCCCTTGACCAGTACATCCATCTGTCTGCAGTTCAGGCACAAAACGCAACGCTCTTCTACGCTCTGGTGATGGCACACATTAATGAAATTCTCCCTATCATATACACCCCAACCGTAGGAGAAGCATGCCAGAAATTAAGTAACATTTTCCTGCACAATCATGGTGTATTTCTAAATCATTTATGCAAAGGCCAATTCAGGGAAGTTATGAGTCAGATATACCATGGGGATGTTAAAATAATTGTCATTACCGACGGCTCACGTATCCTCGGGCTGGGGGATCTCGGCTGCAACGGTGTCGGCATCAGCATTGGCAAGTCCTCCCTCTACGTCGCGGGTGCTGGGTTAGAGCCCAGTCAAGTGATGCCCGTCGTGCTGGACGTCGGCACGAACACGGATAAGATCCGCGAGAACCCCTTCTACTTCGGCATAAAACAGAAGCGGTGCGGCGATGCCGAGTTCTACGGCCTGATGGATGAGTTCATGGAGGCTGTGACGAAGCAGTGGCCCGGTGCTGTGGTGCAGTTCGAGGACTTCAGCAACAACCATTGCTTCAACATCCTATCGCGCTACCAAGAGAAGTACCGCTGCTTCAACGACGACATACAGGGAACGGGTGCCGTGATTGCTGCGGGCTTCCTCAACGCGGTGAAGCTGTCGAAGATGTCCCCCAAGGATCATCGGATCATCTTCGTTGGCGCTGGCTCCGCGGCGACGGGTGTGGCGGAGTGTATTGCGAAACTTGAGGCCCGGCTCCACAATCTTAACTATGAGGATTTGCTCCCGACATTCTACTTCATTGACTCCAAGGGTTTGGTGACGAACACCCGCGGTGACAAGCTCGATGCCCACAAGGTGTCATGGGCCCGCAAGGACATATCGGCCGAGGACAGCCAGAAGCTCAAGACCCTCGATGATGTCGTGAAGCGCGTGAAGCCGACCGCACTGATCGGTCTCGGTGGCGTGCCCTCCGTGTTCACTGAGGGGATCATCAAGTTCATGACCACCTACTGCGAGCGCCCCATCGTCTTCCCGCTGTCGAACCCCACCAGCCAGGCGGAGGTCACGCCAGATGAGGCGTACCGGTGGACCAACGGCAAGGCGATCATCGCCTCCGGGAGCCCGTTCCCAGAGACCGTCCTCGACGGGAAGACCCTGAAGCCGTCCCAGGGCAACAACCTCTACGTCTTCCCGGGCATCGGGCTGGGCTGTGCTCTCTGTAGCCCGCGATATATCCCAGATGATCTTTTGGTTGTAGCAGCGGTATCCTTAAACACTATGACCTCTGAGGATCATCTTTCTAAAGGCGCTTTATATCCTCCGTTAGACAATATTCGTGATATTTCAGCTCAGATTGCTACTGATGTTATTTTAGAAGCACAAAGGCTGGGAATTGATGGTAATACTACATTGCCACGTGAACGCAATTTACTTTTATCAGAAGTCAAGAAAAATCAATGGTCTCCAATGTATTCTGAGCAACTTTCTCTTTGCTAGGAACTTGCAATTCTATTTATTATTTTACAGATTCAGGTGAAATTTATTGTATACACAATATTTAAATTTGCAAATAATATCAATTTATACCTTTGAGTTTAATAAACAAGGGATCTAACTGTTTATTTTATTTTTATATAAACTGAATTCATAAACTAATGATCGGATGAAAAATAAGAAGTGTAAAAAGAAGAAGGAGAAATATATAAGTATGAAGAAAATTATATAATATTATCGTTTCGTTTGTAATTACTTGACACTGTAACAGCATCCGAACAAATAAGTTCACCTATGATATTATCTTAAGAATGCTTTGCCACCTTACTTTAGTGCAATTTCAGTTCTAGAACTCTTTTAACGCGCGGTTGCCGTGTGGCGTAGGTGCGTCTCGAGTCGCTGTTGCCTCCTCTGTTTATGCATATTAATACTTATTCTCGGGTGCCCCACCTGCTTCTACCTAGCAATCACTTTAGTCTCAAGCATACTTTCTATTGGACTCACTTTATAACCAACCCTTAAATAACAAAAACACCTAAGCCAATTACGCAATGTTTCGGTCTTTGATCCGGCGCTCGAACGTGGCGAAGCCTCCTACCCGTGGGCTGGAGTTTCTGCAGAATCGCTTCACCAACAAAGGAACGGCCTTCAGCTTGAAGGAGCGCAAAGCCCTTGGCCTCGAAGGCGTGCTGCCGCCGGCTGTTGAGACCCTGGACACGCAGGTGAAGCGCTGCTGGCACCAGTTCAAGCTGCTGAACCAGCCGATTAACCGCTACCAGCTGCTCCGCGGCATCCTAGACAAGAACGCCACCCTCTACTATGCGGTACTCATGCACAACTTGAGCGAAACGCTGCCTGTTGTGTACACGCCGACGGTCGGTGAGGTTTGCCAGAGGTACGGTGAGCTATACCAGAACGACCACGCACTCTACCTTGACTTAAAGAGCAAGGGGAACGTGAGCGGGCTTGTCAAGAACCTGGGGATGAAGGACGTGGATATTATCGTCGTCACGGACGGCTCACGTATCCTCGGGCTGGGGGATCTCGGCTGCAACGGTGTCGGCATCAGCATTGGCAAGTCCTCCCTCTACGTCGCGGGTGCCGGGCTGCAACCCAGTCGTGTGCTGCCCGTCGTGCTGGACGTCGGCACGAACACGGATAAGATCCGCGAGAACCCCTTCTACTTCGCCTCTCGCCAGAAGCGGTGCGGCGATGCCGAGTTCTACGGCCTGATGGATGAGTTCATGGAGGCTGTGACGAAGCAGTGGCCCGGTGCTGTGGTGCAGTTCGAGGACTTCAGCAACAACCATTGCTTCAACATCCTATCGCGCTACCAAGAGAAGTACCGCTGCTTCAACGACGACATACAGGGAACGGGTGCCGTGATTGCTGCGGGCTTCCTCAACGCGGTGAAGCTGTCGAAGATGTCCCCCAAGGATCATCGGATCATCTTCGTTGGCGCTGGCTCCGCGGCGACGGGTGTGGCGCAGAGCATGGCCGACCTGGCCGCGCTCAAGTACGGCGGTAATGCGGAAGACTACAAGGGCAACTTCTACTTCATTGACTCCAAGGGTTTGGTGACGAACACCCGCGGTGACAAGCTCGATGCCCACAAGGTGTCATGGGCCCGCAAGGACATATCGGCCGAGGACAACCAGAAGCTCAAGACCCTCGATGATGTCGTGAAGCGCGTGAAGCCGACCGCACTGATCGGTCTCGGTGGCGTGCCCTCCGTGTTCACTGAGGGGATCATCAAGTTCATGACCACCTACTGCGAGCGCCCCATCGTCTTCCCGCTGTCGAACCCCACCAGCCAGGCGGAGGTCACGCCAGATGAGGCGTACCGGTGGACCAACGGCAAGGCGATCATCGCCTCCGGGAGCCCGTTCCCAGAGACCGTCCTCGACGGGAAGACCCTGAAGCCGTCCCAGGGCAACAACCTCTACGTCTTCCCGGGCATCGGGCTGGGCTGCTGCATCGCCGCGCCGTCGCACATCCCGCAGGGAACGCTGGTGGCTGCCGCGTCTGCCCTAAGTGACCTCGTCACGCCCGAGGAGCTGGAGAAGGGGCTGCTGTACCCCTCCATCGACGAGGTGCGCGAGGTGTCTGCCCACGTCGCGGTCGCATGCATCCAGCACCTCCAGAGCGTGGGCCTCGCCAAGGCGGGTCTCCCGACGGAGAAGGATGCCCTCCTCAAGCACGTCCTGGACGCCATGTGGGTGCCCGAGTACCTCCCTGAGGAGTACTACCTGAGCTAAATCATCGCCATCGCAAGTCGCGGCAGCGAGAGCTGAAGCAACGGGCGGCTAAAAATGGCAAGGTCGGCCGAAAACTAAGACGATTATAAGCAGTTTTAGAAACGGTGTGGACCCCCCAAATGCTCTCCCTGTGCGGCTTCACTTAGGATTAACAAAAGGGCGGGGAGGATGGGCAGATTGATCGCAGAGTATCCACTAAGCAAAAGAAATGTGCCTGAACCTAGCTTTCTTGTTGGATTCTTGATCAGTTTTCTTTTTCTATTATTTGCTGTTCAAATCACCTTTTAAAAGCTCAAGTCACTGAGTGATTCTGAAAGCATGCTATTTTTGGGTCTAAGAGAAGAAAGGCACAAAAGAAGTAATAAGCAAATAAGGGCCTTGCTTCTCGACAGTAAACGAGGGCTGATTTCAAAAAGAAAAAAGACATGGCCTGTGGTATGTCGTTACGTAGAAAAGCCTTTACGTTGAAGGAAGGGGTGAGTGGGTAGGGGTGTATGCGTCTTTGCCGATTTGTGTTGGTGCCGATAGCACCTACCCTCCCTCCCGGTATTCATGTTCTCGCCTATCTGCTGATTTTCAATACACTAAAAGGCATCCACTTATGCATGGAAAGCAATCGAGGCATGCGTGCGCCATACATTTATTTTTCCGGAAAATTATCTACAGATATATAAATATATTTACTATTAGTCCCGTTTTATTTAGCTGTGTTATTGTGAAGTTTTGAGATTTTAAAGTGTTTGTTTTTCTTCCTCCGTCAAAAATTTTCTTTTCCTTAAAAGCGCAATGCTTGTTTTAGAATGTTTTTTTCTTCCCTTCAGGATATTTCTAGATAATAGAAATTAGTATAGCATTCGTTACTTTTTTTTATTATCTTCCTTTTGTTGTTTAGTTGTAAATTTAATTCATTTGAATGTTATGAGTGTTCTATTTTATGGTAGAATTTCCCTTCTGGGGCATATTTATTTTGTAATCTTTTATTAGTATTAGCATTATTTTTATTCGATTGAGCTCTGATACATTTTTTTATATACCTCTTTAGAAGTACTGTTAAGTTCCTCTGTCACTATTTCTTTGGTTTTCTTTCTTTGATTTTAATAAAGGTGACATATAAAAGATTTTCAATAAATAAGCCATGAGTGGAGATGAAATGTCCTTTGAATATATTGGCAGGGACCTTCGCACTTCTGCAAAACCAGGACTAGCTTGTACCAAGAGGAACCGACTTAGTCTATTGAACTCAAGTGAAAAGGGTGACCCAAACGTAAGACGGCGTACTGCTCACGAAATTGACCGAGATGTAAAGATCCGTGACATCCTTACAACGCTTAACATTCCAGCTGAACAACCTTGTGTCTCAGCACCTCCTTTACTTAATTTCCCTCAAAATAATGAACTACATTCCAATCTATGCAAAGGTGCAGCGGACGGGGGAAGAACGGAAACCTATTCTTCTACCCATCCTTCTAAAGGTAATTCTTCAGGGGCTATAACGTCAGCGACCTTAGCTCCCACTCATGCGAAATTGTTAATGTCCGAAAGTAATAAGCCTTCAATGGTTGCACCTTCAGCTGTAACGGGAATGCATCATTCTCATCGTGAGTCGAAGTCTCATTATCACAGAAACAATCGCACGGCCTTTGTGACACGTAATGCACTGTGCGAGGTTGATCCTGTTACGAAACAATGTATGCAGGTGAATGTAGCTTCTCATTCCACCGTCCACTCTTCCTCATTGAGACGTACGGGATATTGGTCCAATGGTATTAATCGAGCCCCACGTCGAGGTCGTTTCGGCGGCGATAGTGAAGGGAGGGAAAAGAAAGACTGCTCCGGCTTCGAAATGCGCTCCCGTCCCTCTATCCAGCTCGTTGAAGTTAGTCATTCTCCCAGTGATAGAACGTATAGTGGCCGTCGCGGTGATAGCGTAAGGAGTAGAGGGGGACGTGGAGGGTAAAAAATTAAAGACCGAGGATCTCTGTATAATCACAACGTACTTTTCATGAGTACGTGATCTAATGTTGTGTATGTGTACAATGTACTTTCCCGGTTCATGTGCATGTTGGTTCCTTTTTCCCTTAAATTTCATTTTTTTATGTGGTGCATCGCACAGTTTGATGGGGAGTACCTTCAGTTTTTTCTAGCACCATCTTTCGCTATACAAAAAAAACAAACTGAGGACAAAACAGCGGCGCTTTAAATCTATCTTTGGTATAATGGTCAGCTCGCTATTATTAGCATTTCAGTAGGCTCTCAATGACGTGCTTAAAGGATAAATAAAGATGCATGCAAATTATTTAATTTCTATTCGTTTTGTTTTTAATATAAACCTGTTTCTATTGAATTTTACTCCTTACACAAATTAAAACTAATCTATACTTCCTAGGTATTTATCATCAAATGCATTGTACGCCAAATAGCAGGGATGATGCTCTATCAGATCTGCCTAGAGTAAAACGAAAGCGCACTCATCTATCGCAACGTGAGCGCTTTCTTAAGGAGCTTTCAAAGTTTGCCAGCGACAGTGACAATAGCCACGATGAGGATACCTATCTTAGTGCCGAGCAACGCTTAAACCAACAAGGAAATAACACGATAACTGGAAACTTCTTCGAGCAGGCTGCAGAGGAAGAGGAACGAAACCACAAGAGCATAAACAGGTCCGATGCTCCTAAACGTGTTGGTATTTCACTCATAAAAAGTATGCACACAGCGAACCGATCCTCAATGGTTTCCCGCTTGGATAGCGGAGTCAATAACAAAAATAATGCAGACACATATGACAAGGAATTTAAGGTAGTAGAAACATACTCTCCCTTGAGTACAGGTGGCTTCTTTGAGACTTCTATGGAGCCGATGGACATACGTGTTGTAAAGATAGGTGATGTGATGTGTCTATTATCTACATCACCAGGGAATAGTAATAGCGCTTCGCTTCCAAAGGGATCTCCGTCCACAAAATCTCTAGTACTTCATAAAACTGAGAAGAGTTTGACTGGCGTGCTTTCCATACAGGGCGCTAGGACCGGCTTGAGAACTGCTAAAGTTGTGAATAATAATATTTTAAATAGTCCAAGTGCTGCTAAAATTAGGTCCTTTGATGACATTGGCGAGGTAGCGGCCACCACGCGTGCGTGTACACTCCTGCAACGGTTCAGAGCTGAGGCAAAGCTCACGGACGAAGAACGAACCTACGGTAAAAAAGCCTCGGTTGAGATGATGAATCAACTTTTTGAGGTCACGCGTCTTGATCGCGACAATCACACCCTCGAAGGCCTCTTCCTTAACGGCAGCCGCCGTGTTTTACGTGCGCACGAGGTCCGTCTCGCTGGTTTTATAGAACGTAAGCTATACAAAAAATGGAAAGACGACCCAGGAAGTCAACCAGTGCATACGATCGAGGTGGTTGAGCTGAAAACTCAAATCTCACCAACATGCAAGATCTCACAACAGCCTGGTGTTGCTGTAGAAGATTCCCGCGCTGCAACTGTGCATGCTGAAGGGAGAACAGATTCCGACAAGCCAGGCGGTATTACCGGGGTGGAGGGATCACCTGTTGCGTGGTGGGTGATACCCAATTTAATTGTGCGTATTGTGGCCGATAATGCGGGGGGGTGGTATGGCAAAAAGTGTGTCGTCCGTGCGATTGATCGGAAGAGCAACAAGGTTCGTCTGATCAGTTTGGAATTGTGGTTACAACACCAGCAACATTCACCACAATCCCCACAGCCAACTTCGTTAGTGCCGAAAGGGGAGGAGGTGGTGGAGGTGGTCGGGCTGCAAGGCTTGGAGACGGTACTGCCGAAGAAGGGGGAATCTGGGCTTGTCGTCCTCGGTCCACGCCGTGGTGAGATGGCCTCAGTTGTAACCCGTCTGTGCGATTCGGAGGGCAATCTCGTAAAGCTGAAGGTGCAGTGCAATCGTACCAAGGACGTTTTTGAATTGGAACCCCATGAGCTCTGTCTTCTAGCTCCTCGTCAACGTTAAAAAATAAAATGAAGTGGGTAGAGTGTGAGATTCGGATAGTAGAGTCTTTGAGGGTGATTTTCGACTTCATCTTAACTTTCCGTCCAATTGCACGTTAAGATGTTTTACTTATGAAGGTTTCAGGGTCCATAAATTTGGAATGATAACGAACAAAGTAAAAGAGGTAATTATTCAGTTTCCCGTATTTGTCATTCCTATTTGCTTTCGTGCATGTCTGGTTGTAGAACTCATGTTTACAAACTTTCCTACATTGTAATCCAAGGGGTTGAGTTTAGTAACCAAGAAACGCAGCGTGTATATCGAAAAACAGCTCAAAATTTCCAAGCTTTTGTCCTAATCTGGGTTATCCATACAAAAAGTAGCCATTTTGTTTGTTTAGCTGAAGGTGGTGTCAACAGCGGCTGGTGAACAAACGATTATATAATTTACTATAAGATCATCTATCGGAAACCAGGGACTATTTTGCGCAAAAAATTGAAAACACCCTTACCCAAGGGGACTTACCATTCAATGCAGAATGTGGCACCCTTATTATCTTCCGCAAAATACGTTCCTGCCTCACGCTCCCCTTTCGATGCGTATATCGTTCTCGATTTTGAGGCCACTTGCGAGCAGGGAAGGTATATCAAGCAACCGGAAGTGATTGAGTTCCCACTTGTCGTTGTAGACCCTGAACAAATGTGCATCGTGGCCGAATTTCAACGTTACGTCCGGCCAAAGCTCTATCCCAAGCTATCTAAATTTTGCACCGAATTAACGGGCATCACACAAGACATGGTTAATCGCGGCGCGCCGTTTGCGAATGTGTACAATGAAGCCATGCAATTTTTGAGAAATTGCGGCTTTGGTGAGGCTCCTCCCAGCCGTAGTTACTGTCTCGTCACGTGCGGAGACTGGGATCTTAAAACGATGCTTCCTGCACAGTTTAAAGTGAGTGGTGATCTTGGTACTCCACCAAGCTGGAAACGTTGGTGTAACTTAAAGCAATATATGAAGCAAATGCAGCCCCCGCTGCTGAGGCCGAAGCGAGGGTGTCCGTGTGATCTGGTGGAGATGCTTGAGGCCGTTGGGCTCCCCCTCCAAGGCCATCACCACAGTGGCATTGACGACTGCCGCAACATCGCTGCGGTGTTGTGCGAGCTGCTTAGGCGAGACTGCGTCGTGATGCCAACCTACAGCTTCGATCACGGCTTTCAGCCCTGGCGTACCATTAATGTGCCTCTTTCATACGCCTCAGGGTTTTCGCTGCCGCCGATGAATCAGTTGCCTAGCTCCATCGTCACAATTAAGCCGCATCCTGAAAACTCAAATCCCATTCACGGCGTTCTACCCTCTCAAGAAAGCGCCGTGCCTACACAGGCTTCCACAATTTCAAAAAAGAAAAAGCGCAGCCGAAAACATCCGAACGCAGATGCGCCCCCCGCGTTGTTGCTCGCAGGGACCTCTCAGCCCGGAAGCGAGGGTGGTGTACGCGCCCCTGCGGTGCTGCTCAACGACTCCCGTGATGCTGTAGCTGAGATTCTTGAACAAGAAGGCAACGCCACGGCTGCGTCTCTATCCAGCCCACTGCCATTAGGAAGGCTGAGGACTATCAGCAAACTGCTGTCGTATATACTTCGGCATGGTGTCGATGAAGTGGGGGTGCCTATCACAGTGAATGGCTATGTGGAGCTCGACGCCCTCCTCCGATTACCTAAATTCCTTCGGGAAAAGATAACCAAGGCGGAGGTCGCACGTGTGGTCGAGGAAAATGGCAAACAACGCTTCCGTCTTGTGTATGGCGCTGAGGACGGGCTTCTTTATATTTGCGCTACGCAGGGGCATAGCCTTAAAGGAGTGACACCCGACCTTTTAGTTATCAAACGTGCGGAAGAGGTGCCGCTGGCCGTGCATGGAACAAACTGGGATGGATGGAGGGATATTTCCGCTTGTGGTTACCTCTCCCCTATGTCGCGGCAGTACATTCACTTCGCGAAAGGGTTACCACAACAATCTGGGGTGATCAGTGGCATGCGCAACACAACCAAGGTACTTCTATACTTAGACATTGAAAGAGCTCTTGGAGATGGTATTCCCATCTTTGAAAGTTCTAATGGTGTGATCCTAACCTCTGGAGTTCCAAACACACGACAATTGCCTTTGAAGTATATCAAAAAGGTCGTGAACCGTGAGACAGGTGAAGTTATTAATATCGATACATTCAGGTCCTAAAAAAGTGATCCAATGGACAGAAAAAAATTAGTAAAAAATGATCCCTAGAATCAACATTACGTTAAATCGAATATTATGTATTTTCCAATTATACCGATTGAAGAATCATTTTTATTCACCAACCCTTACACCCCATACTAAGTTAATGGCAGAGTATCATATCACTTAGCTAAATTTATAGGAACAATTAATCATTGGAGAGCAGACGCTTTGCCTTTCGCTAATGAGTAGGCGGAACTCTCTTGCAGCTGACGCATCTATGCCTCTTCTGCAAAGCTCTGACATCCCTGTGATGTCGGTCAAACCTGAAATTGAAAACTTTCCTGGATCGACCTCTAAATTCGCTTCTTCTCCGTCTAGGGGGGATTCGCAAGGTGGAAAGGCTAATACTCCCTCTTTGGCTCAACTAGATCCGATCCATCAACCTCTATTGGACGAAATTGAGTGCTACGACACCCCAACGCACTGCCATCTTATTGGGACAGATTGCGACCATGCGTCCTACCACATCATTTCATTCCCAAAGAAAACTCCAGTCATTGGTACTTTATCGGAGTCCATAATGAAATCGTCTGAAGACAGTAGCAGCAGCGTGTTAGATGGCATTCATAGCGTCGACCTTCCGACGATTGGTTCTGCTAAGACTCAAAAGAATTCGAACGTGCTCAAAAATAAGGTGAATTTGGAAATGAAATCGACCACGTTAACCCATGATGAGATGATCTCCTTCGTGAACACGCTTCGATCTACGTTCGATGTGGGGCATGTGCAGATCCGAGTTCTTCTGGGCACCATATACCTTACAAAGGGGTATTACCTCGTTGTTGCGCGGAACCGACAGCTTGTCGCACGGATCGGTCCACATCGCATTTTTAAGGCTACAGACATTACTTTAATTTCCTTAATGACTTATCCTAAGCATCATGGAGTGTCAGAAAAGTTGCAACCTCAGCCAATGACATCAGTAGATGCCACCACATCCGCATATTCTTCATTATTAGAAGATAATAGAAACAACAGCGATGGTAAAAGCTACGAAAAGCCTCGGAAGCACAGGTGGTGGGATGTGGGAAACATCTCCTCAACCGTAGCTTCATTGGTTACCTCGGTTGCTCCCAATTTTTTTGGAGCTCATCGCGACCCGGAAGAACACTACCGCCAGCAGCTTATCTCTCTTTTTGCCGATGATAAGAATAATTCGTCTTTCTACTATTCCCACACGTATGATCTTACCAACACTCTGCAAACTAATATGACTGTGCCAGCTGCGGAACGAATGTATCGAATGAAGTATGTGTGGAACGAGTTTCTCATGGAGCCCTTTAGCCCGCTATATGCGAAGAGCAACGATGAGCGCAACGATTCCCCATCGGAATGGTTTTCTACAGCTTTCCCACATCCCGCTTTTGGCAGCACGACCCCTTCGACACCTGCTTTTCTTAGTTCTTTTGCTCCTACCTTTTTCCACGAGCTAGGGGGCGAGCGACGCTGGTGTGTGTTTGTCATCCGTGGCGCGATTATTCAACACATCCTGCACACGGTGCCGGATTTTTTGCCCTTTTCGCTTACATTGATCACGCGCGTGAGTAAGGAATTTACAGGAACACGCTACCTACGGCGCGGCATCGACCGTGGAGGCCACGCCGCGAACCACGTAGAGGTGGAGCAGATCGTCTGTGAGGAGTTCAACCTCGACTCGCACTACCTTCGTGGAGGATATAGCAGCTACGTCCAGGTGCGGGGATCGGTCCCACTCCGTTGGTTTCATCCACTACCTATCGCCACGATGCTGAAACCACCCATCGTCCTAAGCCACTCAGATGGTCTCTACACCGAGACGTGTCGACATTTTCAGCATCTGCTTGCCGATTACGGGGCACCTATCGTTGTGATGGATTACTTGAAACAAATGGAGAAACAAGAGAGGGAATCAACCCTGGGGGCGGCGTACCGCGTAGCGGTGCAGGTGCTCGCCGGATCTATCGATCGCGCCCGGAAACGGGCCGCTGATCCCTTCAAACTGCATTCTGAGAGTGCGGCGGCTTCAGTGCCTGAACCATGTCGATCATCTTCCGACGCCAATACACAAATAAACCACCTTAGAAGCGAAGCTGTGCTGAGGTACAAGGCGATTGACCTACGGAGAGCCGCAGGTCGCTCATGGAACGTCGTGACGGCTGCTGCAGAAGAGGACGAGGCTGATATTGGTTTGTTCGTTTGTCAAGCCAACGGTGAGGTTCAACAGCGACAGCAAGGTGTTGTGCGTAGCAACTGCATCGACTGTGTGGATCGCACCAATATTGGGCAGCTGATTTTTAGCCTCCACGCCTTGGGAAGGCAGCTTGAGGCGTTAGGCCTGCTCCACGTGGCGGCGGATCTTGTCTTGTCGCCCGAAGTTCAGGAGGCGTTGGTGAGCATGTACCTATTCCTTGGCGATGCAATCGCGACGCAGTATGGGGGGTCCCCACAGGTTAGTGTAGGGGTCTTGCACCGCGGTGTGGGCTGGGATCAGTTCATGGGGATTAAGCGGTTGTTTAACAATATGATGAGCGACGAATACAAACAAGGGGCGCTGAACTTGTTTCTGGGCATTTTTCGACCGTATTTGCACCCTGGGAATAGGGATCCCAATGTGGAACTTACGTCTTCTGGGCTGCGAAAAGATAGTGGAAAAGAGAAAGGCAGTGCCTTGTCTTTTCCATCGTCACCTTCCTTTGTTGATCCCACTACACCTGATAAGGTGCTTGGCGGCGACGGGGTATCAACGCATGTACTTACCTCAACATCTCTTCCCGTACCCAAGCAATCTGATCAACATTCTGAGGACTCTACCGAATCGCTTGCGAGCAGCGTCGCTAGCAACCCTGTGACGACCTTTCTTCTTTTATCCACATCCCCTAGCACCACTTCGGCAGCCCTTCCACGTCGCAGTCGTCGGCTGACAGCACGGAAAACCCACACACATGAACCACGCGTGTCGGTTGGTGGAGAAGCGGAGCCAGATTACTACTCGCAGGCAAACTCAGACCCACATCTCCCTGGATCTTCACTTCTGAAGCATTGGTGGATAGCGCCCTTGGCATGGTGGCGGCACACCTGCGGACGAAGATTGAAGAAAGGCACAGATACACTAGGGAACTTTGTTGTAAACGAAATCTCAGTTGAGAGGGTGGATAGCCTACACGGGCTTATAGCGACTTCACAAACTTTGGATGGAGCTAACTCCTCGCTTGTATCGCCTCTTCTCTCCGAGGCTCGACGCCAGCGGGAACTAAGCTCACAGGAGATGGGTTTGGGTCCGTCACTGGAGGACTATGTGGCCCTTCCTGGCAATACCAGCACCAACAGTGACAATGCGAAATACCAAACAGAAGCCGTCGCAACACCTCTAAAATCCTCAGCTCTCTCAGAAGGAAAAAGCACCTCAGCAAATAAAGTTTGTACGAATGATGAGGTCAGTGTCTCTCAGGCGTTGGTAAGTGGCATCACGACCAACTCTTTCGCCGAGATGGAAATGGGGAACCCTTCCCCAGCATGGCAGCCACGGCAGCAACCAATCCTCCTCCGCCGCTCGACCCGCTGCGCACAGAAGAACTCAACTTTTTCCTTGCTGGATAATGAGAAAGCTGTGTTAAAGGCTCTCAGAACTGGTGCGTCCCAAAATCCCTTCTTTTGTTTCCCAATTTGGAATATAAAGGAAAAGTACGGGGACAACGAGCTATTGGACTCTAGCTTCAACGAGTTAGACAATGTGCAAAAGGAAGGAACAGATCACTCGATTACATTCACATTTCCTAAGATGCCCACTGCTCCATGGTGCATGAGAGAGTATGTCCACGACCACTCCCTCTTTCCAAGTCAAGTGCACACCAGCGTATATGAAGTTCAACAAAAGAAGCTTGAAGAGGATATCTATTTAAGCGATGATGACAAAGAGATCAAGAGTAAATTGGGTAAAAGCATATCTCACGTAAACCCTGACATGTCTACCTACTTCAACTTTCAGGCCCATGCGCTTCTCTGCCTGCTAGGCACGCCGGTGAATTGGACTAATGATGAAGTCAAGGCCGCCTTGCGCTACTGCGCTGCCACGTCGTCATCCTCCCGCCCATGCAAGATACCAAACCTAATCTGCAATGGGCCCGACCTCCTCAATGCACTCGACCATTCGCTTCAACAGCCCAGCTTCACCGTCGAACAGCGCCGGTTGGTGCATAAATTGCGAGCCCTTGCGCGGTACCTACACCCGCCGATGACCGCCTCGCCCCTGTCCACATCCGTGAAAGACCCCTCCGTGGGCTGGCAAAGTTCGGACCTCCAAGGAGAGGGTCCTGCTTCACCCAAACACCCCTGGGCCCCTTCCTCTCGACGTGCCACCGCTACAGGCTGGTCTGTGTTGGAAGGGGGCCCTGTCGTGTCCCAATTAGACCCTGTAGGGACAGGCTGGGAAACCCCCCAGTCATTCTTCTTAGAACGATTGACCCCACAAACCGTAGGGCCCGTCCTGTCCCAGTGGGTGGAGCATCTCCGAGAGGGGGTTCCACGGCGGGACTACATTCGCTACACCACCCAGCCCCGACGGACCCAAGGGCACACGCCGAATCGGCTCTTGACGCCTGTGATCGTCCGCAACGCGTTCCCTCTTGTGCGGGTGCATCGCTGGCTGATCGAGAACAGCGAGGCCTGTGGGCTTAAGTTGCACATGGCAAAAGGAGGCCGAAGGGCGGCCGCCATTGAGGCGTGGCGGCTGCTCTGGTGGGCCGCACACAACTCTCTTATTGTACCAATTGTAATTGACCCTTCCCCTTCGTCTATGGCAACATTTTTACCCATAGCTCGGCTGCGGAGGTCGCGGGACTGCTTTTTTAGTTTTTTTTCCGACCCTACTACTTTGTTTCGCTTCCCAGGGGTCGTTGATGCGGTAAAGCTGAATTGGCCATCTGTAGAGGAAAATAGCATTCTGTGGGTGCAGCCTCTTGGCCGAGGGGTGCCCCGCGGTATTTCAGATCAAGTGCCACCAACGATTCTCATTGAAAAATTGTCTAGCCTTGCCCTAAACGCTATTTCCGAGTTCCAAAGGGAGATCGTAACTGGCTCCTTATCTTTAGCTGACTCTGTAAAAATGGCGAAGGTTCTCCTGGAGAGCATTGAGACTGGCGCAAAGGCTCTGCGCAACGTGGACCTTCGATTAATTCCCACTGCCGAGCGACTTTGCTTTTTCATTAACTTGTATAATACTCTTTATGCTCATGCTTGGATGGCGATCACTGCACGAGGGTATACGACTGGGTCGATTCTCGTACCCCTGAATGGTGAAACAACGATGGCACTTCCAACCAATCTAATTGAAGACTTCTATCGCACCCACGGCTACGTGATCGGATCCCATTGGCTAAGCTGCTACACCATTAAATATGGCATCCTTACCGCCCTCCCTCCACCACCTACGGCGACTTCCAAATCTTCATCCGGGGATGCCTTCACAGACGAGTTGCTTGAGGAAACATCCTTGATGAACGGCCACAACGGAATTGATGCGGGTTATGCGGCAGGGCGAATTGAGGCATGTCAAGTAGATATTGACCTGCAAGGGCTTTCGCAGGCGCTTATTGATGTAGGACTGCGCTGTTCAGCGCACATTTTCGAGCCCTTATCCACTGTCGGCAGTGTCAGCCCCGCTAATGAGTTGAGCAGCTTGATCTGTGATACCTGTGAGTGCATCCGGCATGACGTGAAATTCTACCTTCTGCGTCGGATTATTCTAGCCCTTCTGGATACCTATCTCCCGCCACCTCCTTTACTGCCTGATGGAGCGGCCACGTGGGAAGTCAGACCCTATTGCCTGTTGGAATGGGATTTTAGAGGTTCCTGTGATGCTCTGGCTTACACAGAATCTGAAAAAGACTTGGAGCCACGGTATTTGTTTGAGATGAAGTCCTCCCCGTTTTCCCCATTCGATTTTTTTTCAAGACCTAATGATACTGGGAGCGGTAGTACTGATCGTTCTCCATCGCAGAATGCATGGACAATGCTCGGTACCGCCACCATGCAAGTGATTGCGGCGGTAGGAGCCACAAACGACCCCTACTGGGGGCTTTCATTATTTCAACGTCGTACACAAACTCCTATTTCAAGACATTTTTTCAGCAGGTGTCCGTCTGGTAACTCTCTGTCACCACTGGCGTCGTCGAGTTCATCGCGACTGCATTCCTTAACACACCTTTGTTTACCTTTGGTGGCGAGTGCTTCGACAATGTATGGCTACAGCGAACTCGTTGCTATCGAAAAGGATTTCGTCTATTCCGTACAGCAAGCTCGAAAATCAAAGCCTGTCATGCTGAGCGCCATGTTAACCCCGATACTCATTCAATATCCAGACATCTTTGGTCCCACATCCGACACAGTTCTCCAGCGCCTACGGCAATCACAACAAAGTGCGATACGTGCAGAAAAATGCCGACAAACGTGCATGCAAAAACTAGAAGGATTGTGATGGATCACAACTTCTTTTAGGAAAAATAAATGATGACGGCGGTTGTAGTACAGACAAAAATGCCGTATCAGTGAAATTCTAGTTCTCATTTACGTGCGAATAGCTTGTTTCTGCTTCATTGAAATAGGAAATCAAAAACTCTAATAAATTTATATATATGAGTCTTGCGAAACCATTTCACTCTTTCATGTGACTTTTCCTTATTCACTAAACATACTTCTGGGTGGTAGCTTCTTTCAAGTTTGTCTTAACAGGGGCAAGGAAAGAGATTTTTCGTAATAATACTTGCAGTAGGTGCAATATTGTCTAGTAGGTGTTTCTCTCTTAAAACACATCAAATTAGGTAGAGGCGGAAATGATGCATCATACCATTGTTAGCTACCACCGTACCGGCCGCGCTCGCGCATTTGTTCACCGCGATCCATCTCTGCAGTTGATGCGTGCGGGCAGCGGCTACCGAAATCTCAAACGGATGGGCATGCCTGCGCAAGTCGGCTTAGGATTTCGAAAAGTAGACAACTTCTATGCGAATACGCAATACCAGCATGCATGGCCACTGCTCTCACATGACGACATGGGGAACAGCGATCAGTCGAATAACACAACTAACATCTTGTATTCTATGTACATGCCGAAGCGAAATAAGGGCACAGCGCCATGGTTTCGTGGGGCCGATACGTATTCCGTCAAGTACTGTGAGCAAGGTCGCTACGAGTATCAGCGCTATCTCATGATTAATCGCTTCCCAAGTGAATACAAGAAGCATTTCCTGCGGTTTTTGACGAACATTCGTGCGGGAGGGAAATCCGACGCGGTTCTACCACAGGAAACCCTGCACTGGCTGTTGCGTATGATTGTCGACAACTTCAACCCGCAACATGTGCATTACATTGCTGCGATGCGGACGCTCTTAGACGCGAACGAGATTGACATGGCGCGTGATGTTTGGAAGATAATGGAGCGGCAGCAGACGTGGCCGGATACCGCCACGTTGTGCGCTTATCTAGACGTTTGCGTTGCGTCTGGCGAGAAGACCTGGGCGATCGAGGCGTGGAATCGCTACGCTACGGAGCTGAAGTTCCTGAGTGAGGGTGAGGTTGACCCCAAGCCGATCACCCGCGTTCCCTTCTCCCTCACGCGTGAGGAACTGTTGTACCTGCCAAAATGGAAGAAGCATTTCGACCACGACCCTAACCTCGACGTGCCGGATTTAAACCGCTTCAATCGCACGCGGGAGGTGTATTTACGGATGAGTTTAGCCATGCTTGCGGGCGGGGATCGCGGCCTTTCGGAGTACTTTTTCCACAAGCTCGAGGAGGCGATGTTGACGACGCCGACGCCGGTGCCGGAGCCACCCAACCCGCATCTCGTTCGCCAACCACGGTGGTCACCGTATGAACATCTGCCCTCCGTGCACGTTTCGCCATGGCGGGTGCAAAATAACGGCCGTGTGATGGCGATGGGGCCCGAAAAGGCGGAGGAAGACGAAATGCAATGCCGTTTCTTCACCAACGAGCAATTCTTGGTGCACGCGACGAAGGAGCTCATCGCGGTTGCCGTGCAACGATATCAGCTACAGCACCCAGAGGCCTGCGGTCCATGGGTGATAACCAAAGAGTTTTTCGAGCCCGCATCCACCGCGGAGGAGGTTTTAACCTATTGCGATGCCCTTGTTGAGCGTCTTTTCGACAAGCTGGGCGATCGGCTGCATAATCTGGAGACCTCTTCTTTGCTCTCCAATATCTTGGGTGTCCACCGCATCGTCGGGAAGGAGGGTGGCCGACAGCTCCACGAGCGAGCGAACGCTTTTCTTACTCGAAAGGCTGCCCTGATCTCGACGCCAGCTATGAACCCTGAGAATGTAGAAAAGAACGATGAATCAAGCGTTGGCAGGGCTAATACCGTCAAGGAATCTATCACAGCACCGAACTACCTACAAATTCTCTCAGGCTTTGCAGATGAAAGTAGTTTTGTTGTGGAAGGTAAAGGACATGCACAGACGCACACGTACCGCCCTGGGTTTGATCCGCGCGCTATGATGAGAGATCTTTTGCGGGTGATTGAGGAAATCAGCACAAACCTGCACGTTCCATGGTCGTCGGATATGCATCTGCAGGTCGTTCGAACAATGGTTGGCTGTGGTACAATGAAGGCGAACGACTACTTTGTGAAAAATGTTCTTCGCCAGTTCGGATGGAAAAGCGAGTTTCTAGAAGCGCTTTATATTGAGTATCGACGGCACGAGGATGTAGATACTTGGGCTGAACTGACTAAACGAGCTTTGGTTTGGACCGCCCGCTACGATGTGAAGGTTTCCGAACGACTGAAGCGTTTGATCGAGGATGACTACGATGTGATTGAGGTTCAAACGCGCACCTTCCGCGAGTTAGCGGTCTTCCAGTTCCGCGACGTCGAGGAGAAGCGTCAGGCGCGGAACGTCGTCAATGAGCTTCCAAATCCGTGGATCGATTACGTCGCCCATGCGTTGCCCTTTCCAGATCGTGATGCGGGTTATCCAGACGAGTATGGTGATATCGGCCAATGGCGCGCCCCAGGCGGCCCTGGATCTCCGGTGAAGGGCCCCGGCTTCTACGCACCCCCCATGGAGGGCGAGCACCACCGTGGCTACACTGCGGAATGGCGAGATTTGAAAAATCCAATGCGTCCTCCACCCTTTCCGAACCCGTGGGAACGCAAATACGCGCAATATGCACGAGGCCAGCATCCCTCTTATGATATGGTTTACGCCGGACCCATGCCGACGATATTTCCCGATCGGCATAACTTCCGAAAACCTACCCGATGGGATTTCCACGACGTCGAGAAACAAGGAAAGTACAAGATTAGTGGACCATACTAAAAGGATTTTCTTTATGCGCGCTTATCTTAAAGAATCGAGGGTCTTTCATATACAAAACTGCATTATTTATTATGGGAAGGGATTTATCTTCTTTTCACATGCCAAAATAGAAGCGGTAAGGTGTATCTGAAAGAAAGGCGTCTGAACCTCAATTTCAAGATGTGTATGCTTCATCAAATATTTTAGGCAATCATTGAATTAAAATGAATAGGTGCTGTTGTCGTTCTTTTTTTAGAGAAAGAGGTGTGGGAGGAAGAGTGTGGTTGTAATGTGCGTTAGTTTCAACTACACAAATAGACCAACCCAAGTATATGTCATTCGCCGCTTTACAAGGTTTTGGGGGTAAAGACCTTTTTGCTTTCTGCTATGTCCAATGTGGGGGCATCAAAAGTATGAAAGTGTGAAAAGGTATGAGCAACTTATGCTCTGCGTTTGAGCTCAGAGTTATCTAAGATTTTCTGAGGTATGGCATTTTAAGTCTAAAAGACTCTCAACGGTGGAAGTAATATCGCTTTTCTCTTTCATTTTCCAGTGCTTGTGACCATCTAGGATAAGTCTAGTGTGCATTTAACGTAACGGAAGTACACTTCATAGGTCACATGATAATTCATTCCACCAGGTGCACGTCTATTACATATATTTGTGCGCATACCAAAACCTTTCTCTCTTTTTCCTATTACCTTAAAAGAATTGAATAGAATAATAAGGTGGAAAGCAAATCTGGTGATTTATTTTATCATTTAATGATTTCTGTTGTGCCTTCTCTCGTGAAGTATGAGACGCCTGTCCTTCTTCCGAGGATTCAGGAGGGTGGCGGGGCCTCCAGTAAGCCCAAGGCTAAAAAGGAAGCCTCACGAGGGGAAAACGACAAAGCCGCGCCGCGACCGGAGGATGTCCTCTATAGCATCATTCCTCCGAGAGAGTTTGAGCAGGATGGGCAGCGTTGGGTGCAGTACCCCTCGAGCACGCCAGCCACGCGTCTCGATGTGATCAACCTACAGGAAACGCTAGATGAGCTACTGGTGCAGCGGCAGGCGCGAGAAACGGGGATCTGCCCGATCCGAGAGGAACTCTACAGCCAGGCTTTTGATGAACTTATCCGGCAGGTTACGATTAACTGTGCGGAGCGAGGGCTGCTGCTGCTGCGTGTGCGGGATGAAATCCGGATGACGCTCGACGCCTACCGCTCAATCTACGAGAGCAGCGCGGCCTTTGGCATGCGCAAGGCCCTGCACGCTGAGCAGAATCGTGTGAAGTTAGAGGCGCAAGTTTTTGCATTGGAGCGGGAAAAGCAAGCGCTCCAACAGCAGGTGCTTGACTTGGAGGAAGAATGCAAACAAATGGAGGATGCCGAGATGCAGCGTCGTGAGGCAGTGGAACAAAAGCACGCGGAAGAAATCAATTACTTCCGACGGACTTACCAAACGCTGACAGCAAATATGCAGACAGTTGTGAACCCTACTAAGACGTAGGTTACAATTGAAATGGGAAATGTGCAACTATACACGAATATAGAGAGCATCTCTTTATGTGTTTAGCGCACCATTTTTTTAAATATTTTCATTCTTTTTTCCATGTGCTTCCTTCCTTTTGAGCTGATTAGAGATTCCTTTCATGAGTTCCATTACCCTTATAGGCTGATTCGCAACATTATGTACGTAGCAAGAGCCGGGTTCCGCATCCCTACTATTCAGCAACATCATTTCTATGTAAAGATAATAGCAGCACATTACATTCTCCCATGGCACTATTATTTCCATTTGCGTTAGGCTTTATGCCCGCATGTATGTCTTAGTCTTTTTTTGTTTTTTCCCGTCCAACCACTTCCTATTTGTTGACCATCACTTTTTCATTTCTCGACCAAAGCTTTCCTTCAAATCGTTTTCGCTATTATCTTCGAGTCTTATAAACACTCAAGCAAACCCAAAGCAAATCGTTTATTTTTAAATACCGGGCCATATTTACCCCATCTAAATACTCTTCCAAACACACACACAACCACCACCACCACAAAAAGATATGTCCTGCAAACCCCAACCGATTGTCGCTGGCAACTGGAAGTGCAACGGCACGCACGCCTCCGTGGAAAAGCTTGTGAACCTCCTGAACAGCCACAAGGTCACGCATGACGTGCAGTGCGTTGTGGCCCCCACCTTCCTTCATATTGCCCTCGTCCAGTCCAAGCTCTCTCACCCGAAGTTCGCGATCAGCGCGCAGAACGCCATCGCGAAGTCCGGCGCCTTCACCGGGGAGGTCTCCATGCCCATCCTGCGCGACCAGGGCGTGCAGTGGTTGATCCTCGGGCACTCCGAGCGCCGTGCGTACTATGGCGAGACGAATGAGATCGTGGCGGGGAAGGTCCGCGACGCCTACGCGCAGGGCTTTTCCATCATCGCCTGCATTGGCGAGACGTTGCAGGAGCGGGAGGCGAATCTGACCGCGAAGGTCGTGTTGGAGCAAACCAAGGCGATCGCGAAGTTGCTGCCGCTGGAGGCGTGGTCGAAGATCGTCCTGGCGTACGAGCCGGTGTGGGCGATCGGCACCGGGAAGGTCGCGACCCCGGAGCAGGCGCAGGAAGTTCACGCCCTTTTGCGGCAGTGGGTGAAGGAGAACGTCTCCGCGGCGGTCGCGGAGAAGCTTCGCATCCTTTACGGCGGATCCGTCACCGCGAAGAACGCGCGGGAGCTTTATCAGAAGAAGGACGTGAACGGCTTCCTCGTTGGAGGGGCCTCGCTTAAGGCGGACTTCCTGCAAATCATTGATTCCACTAAGAACTAATACGGTGTTGGGTAACCAAAAGTATATTGCACGTGCTAGGTGCGTGTCCCCTTATAAATGCTTTTTCATACCCGATGCGTCATTCATCGTTTGGTATTGAAAAATAGGCTTTTTTTGATTATTATTGGTTCTTGCCAAATAAGGAATAATTCGGTGACAATAGTTCAACATTAAGGTAAAAAGAAAATATTATGATTTTTATGGGAACTATCAAAAATTAGTTAAAAGTTATAAAGGGCGTAAAGAAAGAGAGCTGGTTCGGAAATAGAATTAAAATTTAGTTGTATTTCATTTTTTCAAAAAAAAATATCTATCAATCTATATATTATAACATTTGGATATTTTGTTGGGTAAATTTTTCAATTCGAGGTATCTTTCTTATTATTTTTACTAATTCACTAATTTTAACAGTAGGAATCCTTGCTTAAGGGTAAATATAGAAAAAATGATATGGAATATGAAGAGAAATATGGACTTCTCGGTTGTCTTCCTTCAAGAGGGTATAGAAAACGTTGCGTTGATTATTTAACACTACCTTTACTTTGGTTTTCGTCATTTATTTTCTTTTTATGCGTAGGTCTATGCATTTTTACACATAGAGATATAGACTGCTCTTCAATGACACGAAATGTCATGATCAAAGCCACATCGTCTGGCTGTTCTTCAAGGTGATCTTTACCAAAACTTCTAAACCAAGAGAATACCGTTCTTACTCTTTAGCTGTTCAACGAAAGGAGGTCGATTGGCTTACAGTTCCCTCCCTCGTTAATCAAAACTGAGCAACCTAAAGTTTGGTATCAGTGCTTATCGAGGTAAGGTATGAAGGATCTCTTCCTTCAGTTGTCTTTTTCCGTGGAATGGATACAAAAGTCTTTGCATACGATGTCGTCCGATTTCGATGGGCATCACTTTGAAGCCTACAAAAGAGGGGCTGCATTATTTTGGATGGATCTTAGTTTTAAAAAATATGCTGTTTTGCTTGATCTCTGTTAAGATACATTTCCCCTTTTTTTTCACGCTTTCTTTTAAGAGTGAAAGTGAGACCCAAAAGTCGTTTGGGGGGTTGATACGAAAAATCAAGTAAAATAGGTGCCAAAGGAAGAAAAAAGACGCCTGGACCTTCCGTTTGAGCTAGGGAATCGTTTTTTTTAAGGGACTACCAAACGAGCTGACGAACTTTTCAAGCATCCCCCCGCGTTTTTCATGTCATTTCGCTTCAGTGGCCGCTCCTATGCGCTTCTCGCACGGCCGCGTTTGACGTCGTCGTCGTCCTGCCACATCGCGGCCCTCAACAACGCGAGGCGGAGTTATTACTGGCCATATAGCGCGGACTTGGTTCCGAAAGACGCCACGCCCTCGAGTTTCCAAACGAGCTCCAGGCCGAGCGTGCGGGAGCGGGTGATACGGGAATACGCGTTAGGCCCGCTCTTCGGGGCGGCCACGCCGCTCTGCATATTGGGGTTTACTGGATCGGCACGGGAGGTGATGGGAGTGAAACGTGAGCTGCGTGGCGTGCTCGCGGAGTTGCTTTTATGTGAAGAGGATCAACTTCGTCTTGGGCCGCTCGCGCAGATGAAAGATATGATGTTATATCGCGGGAATACGCCGGAATCGCCACGGCTGGCGGACGGCCCCGGGAGCGGTCCGGCCGAAGCGCAACGCCGCCGCACCCGCTACGCACGACTTCCGATTCAAGCGCGAACTTTGCTTGATGTGTTTCTTTCGGAGGAGGTTGAGGCGGATGAGGCGGAGCGCCGACAGCTTGGGAGTTTTGTTCAAGCATGCCTCCTTTCCTCACCAACGCACGGGATCCTGCGCGGTGATCACGGATGGTGTCGTATACTCAACAAAGACGAGATTTCATCCTCGAATGATATCAGAACGGCGAGTGATGCGTCTTTGCATGACGTGACTAGTGTTGTGATGAGGCTTAAAGCTCTGGGAGTTGTCTACTGCGAGCTTTCCCCTGAAGGACGTGAAGATGCGGAGGACTACACATTTAATGAGCTCCACGGAAAGGCAGTAGAGGAAGATATGATAAAGCAGGTGATGGAGAGGTGGGAACGGCGGTTAGTATAGCATATCGCGTCGTTTTCATAGGTATTAGATTTTGCATATTCTTGAATAATGAGCCATTAGCGGGCAACATGAAGCAGCCTACTCTTTGATAGTTCAAAATTCACATATACCCATACATGCTCTTTTGCTAAACGTCAAGGGTTTACTTCTTTATTCACAACTGTACCTGAATGCCTATCTGAGGACGTTGAATTTGACATTCCAGCTTGCGTAATACGCAGGTTATCATTTTCCTTTTGTTTTTTCCTTTTTGATCAAGTCTGGATAAATATAATTACAAATAATCACCTCTATCAGGGCCCTATTTCATGTTCTTCCAGCATGAATTGCAGTGTCGTCACTGCTCCGCTGTGCACCTTTTTGGCTTACTTGTTTTGATGTGGTTCGTCTTCTCGGCAAGCTCTGTGGCAGCGTTTCGCTTCACCTTGGTGCCGGGAAAGGTGAAGTGCTTCACCTATGATGCACTGGAGGCTGGGCGTTACGAGATGCGCTACCGCATGACGACCAGCCTATCTCCTTTTGTATCGGTATCTGTTACATCCGCTTCCGGACGCGCGCTGGTAGAGCATCAACCCGCGATTCCGGACGCGAAGGAGATATTCGAGCTCAAATCCATCGGGGTGATCGCGATCTGCTTCAACCCCAGCGCTAAAGCGGAGCGGGCGACCTCGTTGAACGTCACCCTCGACGTTGTCGACGCCGAGGATGCTGAGTTGACGCGGGTGAAGAAGCAGAGCTATAGCACGAGCAGCCCGATCGCGCTCGGCGTCGGGAAGGGTAGCGGCGCGCTACGCCAGATGCGCTATATTAATGATGCACTCACTAAAATACGTCTTTACATGGTAACGCTCGCTCAGTACGATAAAGATATCGAGATCTCCATCCATATCGTGGAGAAGTGGGCGTGGAAGCTCTTGGCTGGTTTTGCTACTGTGGGACTTGTTTTGCTTTCGATTAGCTATCTGCGAATGTGGAGATTTTTGTGTAAGATGAATATGATCAAAAAGAAGCAAAGGTAAGATAAATCCGTCAGATATGTCTTGTATTCTAAGTGTCATTTAACAGTATGGAACTAATATGTAAAAAAATATATAAGGTAACGAAAAGAAACATTATGTATGGTACAAGACAATTACTCAAACAAAGTATTAGGATAATGTTAACATATAAATATATTTCATATATATTTTTTATTTAGGAGGAAATTTACACATACACGTTAGCCTCTAACATGTCTGTTTTTGGAGGCGATGCCAGGGGTATATAACGACTAGGGTATGCTTTAAATATTCTATTTCTCTTTTTACCCAATAGTTTATGCAGTTACATGTATTTATGTGTTGAAAAAAAGAGAAAATATTGTCTTTTGAATTCAAACTCTAGGGTATTCAAACCTGTGGAATTCAAAATTGATGGCTATTGCTTTCAGGGAAACGCAGGGGCACCACGTGCTTTCTGTATATAAATATATTGGGGTAGCTTTGCGTCTTTTTCATATCACGTATTGACATTTTGTAAATTAAGAGCTTATGAATTCTTCTTTACTACACTTTTTTTTATCTCTTTCTTTTGATCTACTTATCTCAAGTGTTCCTTTTCTTGAATAAACATAATACCGCATTTCACCGCATTAGGTGCTACGAAAATAAGATAGGACTATTCTCTTAATTTTGTCCTATTTATTTGGATCATCTTTGTTTATATTTAGGTGATCTCTCTTCCAGTTAGACTGTTGTTTCTTTAAGTGTATTATTCTTACAATACGATTCTTTTCTTTAGTAGTAGGCGTTTGTTTAATAGGCCGGCACAGTGATATAGAAATGTCCCTCTCCCCAGTCGGAATATTCTTTGTCGTCGCTTCTCTGTTTTTACTCCTTTACTTTGTGGTTGGCATTTTCGTACGCTACCGTGGTGGCCTTCATCGCTTCCCAGAGGTGCTTCCGAACTATATTTTCTGGTGTAAATTGTTCAGTGGGGTGGTTCGTATCCTAACTTGCGGCCGTTGCCGCGTGCGAATCCCCGTAAGAAGCAACTCTATCAGTGGGTTGACAATGCTCCCGAGCCGACCAAGCCTCGCTGTTGACGTCACCTTCGAGGGGCTCTCTAGCGACGAAAATGATAACTGGCAGGAGGCAAGCCGTGCGATGGAGCCCGCTGAGGTGGTGGTTCGCAGCTGAAATTAGCTCAGGGGATACAAAAAATGGGTGTGTATTTATAAAGAGAAGAAGAATGAAAATAAACTATGCGTAATTAATTATTGCCAATATTTCCGTTAACAGATAGAGATAAATTTATATTCTTTGCGTGTTGTTCTTTCATAGCCTTTTATTGGCAGCAACTGAAGGTACTCCTGTTGTCTCTACCCTTACCTTCGATCTAAGTCCATATGTACGATGGTTATGTTTAACAAAGGATCATAAGTCATAATACAGTCGTGGATATTTTTATGCAATTCGTTGGTTTCTTGTGCATACAAACGTAATTGTTATGCATTGTTATCGAGGCTTCATTTTTGATATTCTTCGATTATTTCAGTACAATAAATTGTTTGCACTTATTTCCTCTTCTTTAAAAGAGCTCATGGATGTATTATGATCGTATATTTGTATGGTTAACCCCGTTTGTTGATTTATACGCCTAAAGCGTTCCAAACTATCAAATGGAATATGTATTGTTCCATATTGACCGATGTATTGTATATCTACTATTTTTCGATCCTTCACTTCTGTCATTAAAAAAATCTCGCATAAGGAAGTAAATCATTTACTTGTTAGTTCCTATATTCCGTTCTTGTGCTATTATTACATGAGGGGGGATCCTTTTCTGACCCTTTCGGACTAGTGTTCATCAGAGGAAAAAAAAGGAGTAAATAAAGTCCACCAAAGGCACTCGAATGCCGCTCAACGATCGTCGAAAAAGGGACGCGATTGCCGGCGCAGCTCCCATACTTCGACGCCGAACTGCCCCCCCCACCGAAGAGACGCTGCTCTTCTGGGTAAAGCGAGCCCTCACCCCAAACCAATCGCTTAAAACCCCGCAAAGAGCTCCTACACTCTCACAGGAGCTCGTCGGCAAGGCGTCTCCCTCTGATAGAGCTGGGATTCGAAGTGTTTGCGAGTCCCCTGCCGTAGTAAATCCCTCCGCGGTGATGGAGGTGCTGGAAACGATGGAGCGAACCTCCTCGGTGGGGTGCCGTAGTGTGGGGCGCGCGATCCCTGCGTCCTCCTCCCAACAAACATCCATCAACGTCGACGAGGCAGCTCAAGCAGAGCTTGCGACCGCTCGGGAAGGAGATTTTCACACGAAACGACTTTCCCCCTCTTCTCAGGTGGAAAGGCTTTCACCTTCTTGTCACAAGAACGGTCCCGCCCCTCCCTCGCAGGCAGACAAGCCTTCGCCTTCTTGTCACAAGAAAGATCCTTCCACTCCCTCGCCGATGGAGGTTCCCTCCTCCCCCTCTTCTCGCGGAGGGGACCTTACGGCGGTGCTCCCTTCCCTTCTTGCCGGCGACCCCGGCCCCGTCGCGCTCGACGTCGAGCTCCCCCCCCGCCTTAGCCTCCTCCACGACCCCCTCGGTTTCGAACGGGCGTTGGAGGGCTTCGAAACCCACGGTGGGGGCGGGATGACGTCCTTCACGATGCGACTTCGCCTTCTGGCGCGAGGGTTTCAGATTTACGAAATGACCGCCCCCCCTTCTGCGGTGCTCACGACGATCGCCGGGCTGCTCCTGGCAAAGTCGTTGCGCGTGATTCTCCTCCACTCCCCACTGCTTTATCGGTTGTTGTTTTTTTTCCTCGGGACAGATCGGGTGGGGGTGGGGAAGGTAGTGGATGTGGGGGCATGGGGGGTGGTCCTTCGGCAGCGCGCAGGGGGGGTGATGCTTTCGAAAGGGCCTGCCACAACGGCGGCGGTGGAGGCGGGAGCGGGGGTGGGAGTGGAGGAAATATGGCGGGCGCTAGGGGAGCCCACGCGGCGGCTGATCGAGGCGCATTTCAGCCCGTCAGGGTACTCTATACAGACAGAAGAGGGGGGGGGAGGAAAGGCTCAACGGATTTCGCGACCCCTGGAAGGGGAGGCGCCACCGGTGGCCTCCCTATCCTCCGAGGAGGATCTCATCGATGTCGAAAAAATCGTTCGCCTAAGTCTAGGTGAAAGGAAAGGGGTGGATGAGGATACCACCTCTGCACCCAACGAAGCCGCCATAGATGCCCTCGCCCGGCCCCCGACGAGGGAGGAGATGAAATCTTCTATTGGCGTCAAATCTCGCCGACGGCAAACCTTTCGTTACCACCAGGTCGATCAACCACCCTCTACTAGTTCATTTACGGATCTCGTGATGGGCAAAGAGCTCGCCTCTGTGTTTATGTACTACGACGAGGTGCTGCAGCCGTGCGAGAACGCCGGTATTGGCGGTGGGGATACCGCGTTGCCGTTGGTGATGTTGGATTTGTGCGATCGTCTAACGTACACCATATTTCTCTGCACTCTTATGTCGTATCATGGGGTGTTTTTAAATAGACCCCTCTTTGAGGCCTTCTTAGCGAACCTCGACGAGCAGCGGGAGGAGATTCTCCAGACAGCAGAATCCTGCTGGCTAGAATTGCGGCGGGCGAAATCGTCAACGGTGGGGAAAGTGAACCCCCCACTTATTGACTCGATGGATCCGTCAAAATTCATGGAGTTGCTCCGCGATTATCTCCCTCCCGCCGCCACAACAGAAGCTCCTGGGCGGGCGAATAGATCCTCCCCATCGCGCGTTAGTCAAGGGGGCAGCGAGGCCGCGGAGAGCCTCCCATCCGATTCGCTTCCCGTTCTCACCCTCGCCCGCAACCTCCGTGAGTGGCGACGTCAGAACGGGGCGGCAGAGGACGCCCTCGCGGCCGTCCTTCCCCACGCGATTTGCCTTTGTGAGTGTTGGTTAGCCCTTCGCGAGCGCGAGGACTTCCGGAAAAGCCTTTTGAACCTTTTTAGTCGCGGTAAAACCCCCCTGAGAGTTCGTGTGGTGGGGGATTCCTCGTCCGGTGGCGGTAGCTACGACGGGGTGGCGGTGGCGTACTCCATTCATCCCCGGTGGGAGGTGCACGGCTCGTCCACCGGCCGCATCTTCTCCGCCGCGCCGAACGTGCAGACGATTCCGAAAAAGCCCCCCCGCGCGCGATTTCCTTTGCCGAAACCCCCATTAAATAACGTGTCCAACACCCGTCGCTCTCCTGGCGAGATTGGGGATCCTTCGAGGTTAATTTTTAAAGGGCAGCCCTCGTGGGGGTTGCGTGGTTTATACTGCGCCCCCCCAGGTTGTGTGCTTGTTTCGCTCGATTTCAACCAAATCGAGCTTCGGCTGCTCGCCCATCTCAGCCGCGACGCCGCGTTGTTGGAGCAGTTCCGCGAGCGACGCGATGTGCTCGCCCTCCTCGCTCGACGGGTGTATGGACGCTCCGCGGCGGAGCCTCTCGCGGAGGGGGAGCGGCAATCCATCAAAATTATTGTTTACGGTCTTCTCTACGGCATGGGAACCTTTCAAATGGATCAGCAGCTGCGAAGCATCCAAAGCGCCCCCACGACACGCGCGAACGATTCCACGACCGTAGCGAGAGGGGATTCCGATCGTTCTCGTGCCCCCGCCATCACCGCGAGCGAGTTGATTCAAACTTTCTACGAGGCCTACCCACGGGTTCGCCATTATCTCCTCCATACCCGACAGCAGGCGTTGCATCACAAAACGGTCGCCACCCTTTCCGGTGTGCGGGCGATCGTCGATCAACCCGATCCCGCCAAACGACGGCAGATGAGCGTCGCGCTGGCGATTCAGGGCGGCGCCGCGGATCTCCTGCAGGCCGCCATGCGCGCGATTCACGAGCACCGCCACGCGTTCATTCCGTTTCTTCCCGTTTCCCCTATCGCGTTGGTGATGGCGATTCATGATGAGTTGATCTACGCGGTTCCTACAGGCGCGATGACGCTCGTCGTTCCCCATCTTAAACGGATTATGGAAGCGCAAGCCGAGGCGCTCGGGCTCACGATTCCGTTGCATGTTTCAGTTAAAGTTGGCCCGAACCTTGGTGAGTTAGAG